TGGCTGAGTAACTAGCTTATCAGGGGAGCCTTGATGCCGAGAGACATGTGGATTCGCCGGGGTGGTGTCGGGGAGGACCCCTGGGCTTCCTGGCACAGTATGGTCGGGGACCTAACCTGTTGTTGGTCTGGGACCCCTCTCGTCGGCATATGGTAAACCTGTGTCGGCTTTGGAAATGCCTTGTCATGAAAGCTTGGAGGTCTCCCGACGTGGCTGATCCCCACGGGCTGGGTGATCCGGGTTAGTAATGTCATGTGGGTAAAGTGTACCCCCTCTGCAGAGGTTAACAAACTGTTCGAACAGCCGTGCCCACGGTCATGGGCGGATGTGAGGTGATTCCTAGCGTAGTTTTGTTTGACTACTGCTTGTGAAATTGCTGTTGTGAAACTGGGTTCGATGTTTGGAAAATCAGCAGCTGACGGGATCAGCTAGGCCCGGGTGGCCGTTTAAAAAGTTGTTGGCCCGGGTGGCCGTTTGAAAAGTGTTGGCCCGGGTGGCCGTTTAAAAAGCTATTGGCCGGGTGCCAACCTTGTTTCAAAATCTAAAGACTGATACATTGCACATACTCCGACCGGGCGAGACGCACTGTCTCATCCGTGTCGTTTGAGAAGCACTCACTTAGTTGCTTTTAGAAAAGAGTTCAAATAAAATCATTTGCAAAAACGTCAGCCTTTCCTTGAAGCCTGCATTAAACACTTATTTCCCCTGGCTTGCTGAGTACTCCCGTACTCACCCTTGCTCTATATAAATAACCCCCCCCAGTTGCTGAAGAAGATGAAGCGGATCCTGCGGATGAGGAGTTCTTCCAGGAGCAAGCCGGCTACGATGAGTTTTAGGGTTTCGGCCTAGTTCCCAAGTCGCGCCTGTGATTGTTTGGTCCAAGTCCTGGCTTCCGCTTTCCTTTTGTAATGCAGTTGTGAGCTCGGGATCTGTCCGTAGCCCAACATGACTGTACTTCTACTCTATAATAAAGAGACCTCTGTTGCTGTGATATTCTGTCTCCCTGTGATACCAGCACTGTTTCCTGGGACTGGTATCGATTAACAGGTTAATTTGGAGCGTCACGGGTTAGTTCCGGTCGGGACTAGTTCGGGGCGTGACAATTTGGTTGCTTGTATTTATTAGCCTGAGTTTGATATGGCCAAGAGGATATGCATGCCTCTTTATTTGGTTACTTGTATTTATTTAGTCTAGCTAATATACCATTTTATTTGGTTACTTCCATAAGAGAAACATTTTATTTGGTTACTTCCATAAGAGAGACGGTCTGGAAGATATTTTGGAAGATATTTTGTTTGTTTGGTTTTATGGATTTGTGTATAAGCACCTTTTACTTAGTTAGGTGAGTTATCTCTACACTATCATATAAAATATCATATTAACATTTGAATTAGTCAATTAGAAGTATTCTGGTACACGCAAACATGCCATAACAAAGGATTTTTCTGAAAAGTACTAATCCACGAATTAATCTAATGTTCATATGTCACAATTATACTGTAAGCAGTAAGAGAAAAGAAAAAGTACGAATTACCACCCCCAAACTATCGTGGTCATCCGAATTACCCCCTTGAACCACAAAACCGGACATTCTTCACCCCCAACTATGCAAACCGGATGAATTACCCCCCTTGACCCAATCAGCGGTGGTTTTGGTCTACGTAGCGCACGCGTGGCAGTCCAGTCAGCAATTTATTTATTAAAAATAGGTGGGCCCCATCTGTCATACTCCTATTGCACTTTTCCCCTTTCTCTCTCTTCTCTCTCACTCTTCCTCTCTCTCTCTTCTCTCCCTCTCCGTCTCACGCACACAGCGGCAGGCGGGGGGCGGCGAGGGATGAGGCGGCGAGCGGCGGCGGGGTGCGGCGGCGGCGGCGAGGCAAGGCGGCGGTGGGAGCTCGCGCTGCTCGAGCGAGGCAAGGCGGCGGCGGAGGAGGCGAGGCGGCGGAGAGGGGACGAGGTGATCAGTCAGTGTGTGTCGTGTTCGATCGATGCGTTGCTTTCGATCGATCTACATGTACAGATGATCAATCAGTCGATCGGATCGATTGCCGTATTTTTTTTGTGTTTGGTGATGAGATGGTGGTTAAGTGGTATGGTTAGTGTGCGCTAATGGCGGTGGTTTGGTTTGGGGGTGGTTGTGTGTGTGTGGTTGCAGGGTGGAGAGCTTCATAGAGCACAGGATGCGTGTAACTCTGGACGGGTGCGCGGCGAGGTCATGCCCGTGGTGACGACGCTGCCGGTCATCCGTCCCGCGGCGCTGCGGCATCATCATCATCATCCGCCACCGCCGCCTGAGCTGCAGCTCCTCCCGGCGTCCACCACGGCGCCGTTGGCCGCCGCATTCTCGTCCAACTCCACGACCACCGGCTCCTCCTCCCATGAGCAACACGCGACGACGATGACGACGACGAAGCTGCAGCTCTTCATCGGCCCCGCTGTCGTCGTCGTCGCAGCGTCCGACGGCGGCGCCACGGCCGCGGCAGCAGGAGGGGAGGAGAAGGAGCAGCGGGAAGAGGTGAGGCGCGCGCTGGAGAAGGTGGACGCGGCGCGGGAGCGGGCGCGCGAGGAAGCCGCGGCGGCGGAGCGCGCGCTGGAGGATGCCAGCCGCCGCCTCGCTTCGCTCGAGCAGCGCGAGCTCCCCCTCCTTTGCCGCACCCCGCTGCCGCTCGCCGCCTCATCCCCCGACGCTCGCCGCCGTCCTCCCCGCCGCTCGCCTCCTCCGCCGCACCCCGCCGCCGCTCGCCTCCTCCGCCGCCGCCGCCTCGCCTCGCTCGAGCAGCGCGAGCTCCCGCCGCCGCCGCCGCTCGCCGCCCCCCGCCTGCCGCTGTGCGCGTGAGACAGAGTGAGAGAAGAGAGAGAGAGGAAGAGTGAGAGAGAGAGAAGAGAGAGAAAAAAAGTGAAATAGGAGTATGAAAAGTGGGTCTCATATTTTTTAAATAAATAAATTGCTGACTGGACTGCCACGCGTACGCCACGTAGACCAAAACCACCGCGGATTGGGTCGAGGGGGGTAATTCGTCCGGTTTGCATAGTTAGGGGTGAAGAATGTCCGGTTTTGTGGTTCAGGGGGGTAATTCGGACGACCACGATAGTTTGGGGGGTAATTCGTACTTTTTCCCAAGAGAAAAGAAAAAAAGAAAAAAAAAGAGAAAAGAGAAAAGAAAAAAGAAAAAAAAAGGAGCGTCGTTTCTTCGCTGGTGTGATTCCCGTCAGCTCGCTGCCCCCGTCCTTATCCGCGTGAGCGTGAGTGGTTAGAGAAAAGAAAAAAAAAGGAAAAAAGAAACAGAATCGTCGCTCCGATAATTTATCCGCGTGAGCAGTTCTTTCCCCTCGTCCTCTTTTCTCGTCCTCATCGCCGCCGATATTCCCCTCAGCCCACCGCCACTAATGCATCCATCTGCGTTGCTTGGTGACTTTAGATTTGTGGCCAGCCGATCTGGCAGCTGGAGGGAGGAGAGGGTGCATGGGATTCTCGGAGCTTGTGCAGGGAGGCGGTGGGGCGGCCTGTGAGAAGACGACGCCGGTAACAACAGGAGAAGAGGAGGAAGATTATTGCGGCAACGGCGGCGTCTCGAGCTTTCGGATTTGGTAATCTCCTCGAGCTCTCCTCTCTCCCCGCCCTCTTCCTACCTTCCGGACTTAGCCGACCTCGAGCTCTTGTGGCCGGATCTGGCAGCTGGAGCTCGTTGGTGCCGGTTGGAGTTCTGAATAAGAGGCGCGTTTGTGGAGACTGGAGAAGATCGGATCGGACGGGGGCGACGTGGATCAAGCCCGGATTGGGTGCTGATGGCACGGATCGAGCGAGGGCACTCCCTGTGCGTCCACCCCAGAGAACAGAGCGATTTTCCCCTTCTACAGGATCAGTGTACAATTTATTTTTTCTCTTCTCCGACTCCATTTATCTTTATTTTCTTCTTGATCTTGATTTTTCAAGAAGTTTTTGTTCCGGTTTTTTTTTCATATGATTGGGTTTTGGATAGGGAATTTGGGTTGATTTGTTCATGTGTCCGTGCTTGTATCTGATTTGATCCGTTTCTCACGGAGAGAGGGACAAAAGTTGTGCAGGGGACGAAGGGGATCGTGAGCAAGGCGGATATAAGCACGGAGTAATTTTTTTTTAAGTATATATGGACGAAAAAATAGCGCATATACGGACAAAAATTAGGTGACGATTGGAAAAATCCAAATCTTTTAATTAGTTAAGATATATAGATAGATAGATAGATAGATTGGGTTACGATGAGATGGACGAAGAATCTACTTGATTACCTCCCCAAGACACGTTCGATCGATCTCACAAATTCTCTTGCCTAACTCCCGATAGTCCATGGAGAAAAAAGCCATCGACGACGATGACGACGCCCCAAACCGGCCTTCGTATGGGACGTACGGCAACGATCCGGTGGCGAGACGCGCGTCCCAAAAGACGACCGATCGCGATGGCGTACGTGACGGCAATGGCAGCGGCACCATGCATGGCGCTGGTCTCTCCGACGGGGAGAAAGTGACCACGATCACCATGGATCTCGCCTCCTTCGACGCCGCAGACGGGCTGGATACATGGACGCGAAAACGGTTGTCGGGCACACGGTTTCGCCCGCGTTTAACCTCGCGGTGCGCGTCGAGAACCCACGCGCTACTTCCGGCGGTGGTGCGCCAACAGCGGGGAGGTGGCGGTCTACTACTCCGGCAGTCCGGCGTGGCGCTCGCGTGGGGGAAAAGTGCCGGGGTTCTGCGCGCGGAGGAGGTCGGCAGCGGAGTTCACGGTAGTGCCGTGGTGCAGGGCCGCAGGGGAGTCGGCTTACCGGAGGATCTACGCGCGCCGGCGCCTCACGTGAAGAACGGAACGGCTCAGGTGCTGGCGGAGATGAAGTTGTACCGCTACGTACGTACACGAAGCTTTTGATCCGCGTGACATGACAGTCTTTGGTGCGTCCTCCGGAAAGGCTAGCGGGCGCCCGCTAGCCTTTCCGCGGATGTTCGCTGGACGCGAACAGTATCGCTTAAAATTCACTGGGAGTATATATTTCACAAATTGGGAAAGATGCATGGACACCACACGGCACTATGCTTGCTTCCCATGCTTGCGTTTGGCCTATCACGGGAGCAACTTATTCCATATAAAAATATATATCAGTCTGTACGATCCCCTTAGAAACTAATGCTGTACGATGGCGACTTATTGGGGTTGAACAGCCCAAAGTGCTTCTCGATCTCATCCCCAGGCTTGCCGTTCTCGTCGAACATAGCAAATATGTAAGTCTCCAACGCCCTGCGCTTCTTGGGCGTGCCGCCTCGGACATGGTTGATCAGCCCCTGGTTGTATGTCTGCGCGTTGTTCACGCTGGCCCCAACCTTCCCTCCGGCGGACGGCCACCCGCTCTCGGACACGACGACGCTGACGCTCGGTGTGCCGGCCTTCTCCAGCGCGGCGTAGATGGAGTCGACCATCGCGTCGAAGAGGCACGTGTAGGTCAGCCTGTTCCCGTTGTCCACCACCGTCGTGCCCGGCTGGAAGGTGGCGTAGTTGAGCATGATGTTTTTCTGCCCGCTTTCCTGGTCGTCTTTGTAGGCGAAGTAGGGGTACACGTTCGCCAACAGCGGCGCGCCGGTGGTGGCCAAGAACCTCGCGATCGGGGTCATGTAGTCGTCCCTGAACCTGCCGCTGGAGGGCGGGAAGGTGTCGGCGAACGCGTCGAACCTGACCGACGTGGATACCTTGATGTTGCCGAGGCCGGCCGCCACCAGCGCGCTGTTGACGTTCCGCATGGCCGGAAGGATGTTCGCGGTGTCGCTGCCTTGAACCTCGTTGCCGACGGCGATGTAGCGGAAGGAGACGCCCGGGTAGGCCTGGATGTTGTCCCTGACCCAACCGGCTGCGGCGGAGGGGCTGGAAGCTAAGCTCGAGAGGTTGCCGTTGCCGACGTCCATGATGAGACCGATGTTCGAGCCGCTGAGTGCATTGAGGGCGGCGGCGTCCGCGAAGTAGATGCGCATCGAATCGATCCCCTTGGATCTGTACAGCTGCACGACTTCGCTCGGCCCGGGCAGGTTGTTGGCGACCACGCCGTAACACACGCCGATGGAGTGTACCGCTGTCGAGAAACAGATGCAAGTGTGCAACAAAGACCCAATAATTAGTTCAGTCAATTTTAGGCTCCCAATGGACAGTACATATGCGCAAGCCTGTACGTGGCGCTGTACGTAGTAGTATATATATAGGGGAATGCTAAATGGCTGCAGTCTGCAGAGAGACATCTTAATTAGTTGCATTACCTGCAGGAAATGCTGCCAAGGTTCCAAGGAGCACGGCCACTGAAAGCATGGGAGCGAAACCCATCTTAGCCATATCCGCCTTATTTGCAACTGAGAGGACCATCACTACTCTATATATAAGCGGTACGCCGTACGCTAACGTACAAATGCATCTAATTTATTGGACAACTTTCCTGCAATGTACCAACCATTTGCCTTCACCCACACACACTCGTTCCTACACATGCAAGCTCCTAGCACTATCCAGACTCCAGTTTGGCACATCCCGTTCCCCGATTCGCACGTCCTCGATGAACTAGCTAGCTTATCGATCGAGTTACAATTTCCACCACTAGCTAGTCCACCAACGCACTACGCAGCCAAGCGTGCTTGACTGACGGGCCAGCAACTTGCATTCCCGGCCCGGCCAGCCAGCCGGCCGGCAGCTGCTGGACTACAGCTAGCTACTCCTGCTATACGTACCTGAATGCGAGGGGTCGCGATCTGGTCAGGCGGCCTAACCAAGCGAAGGACCCATACGCTAGGTCGTCGCGTCGTATCGTACGTCTACGAGTCGTGCTCGCTTGGAAAAACTTGGCCGCTAGAACGCACATGCGCTACAAAGAGCCAATTAAGCTTAGCTTGTCCCGTTGTCCGGCTTGTGGAATTCCGGTGCGTACCCGTTGACCGCTGACGACCCCTCTCCCACGGGCTCATTTGATTAGCGGCATCGATATATCGACGTCGCCGTCTGCTATTCGTTTGCTTGCTGCGACTTGTTGCTTGCTTGTACGTGCAACGCGGGCATGTGCTGATGCGCACAAACGAAAGGTCGCGCGCGCCGCGCAGCCGGCCGACGAGGTGCTGCCGTGCTGGACAGACTGGTGGCGCAATTGGTGGTTTGGTGCATGTGCAGGGAAGTGGACTGGTGCAATAGTGCATCCGTGCATGTGGAGAAACTATTCTAAACTCTCTTTTTTTAAGATAATGGAACTATTCTAAACTCCGAAAGGGATATCCCCTCATTATTTATATGTCACTTAAATAATTATAAAAAAATTGGAAAACAAAATATGAGAATATGTATTAATATGTACTATACCACTCCACAAACAAGTTCAAATTCAACTTATATATCTTGCAAAAAATAAAAACTACAGCTAATTAACGTATCAAATTTGTTCTTTTCGTTGCGACATGTAGAAATTGAATTTTAACTTAACATGTTTATGATATATTGTCGAAACAAGACTTCGGCAATAATAAAAGGGGGTGGCTATTAAGCTAGGAAAGTGGATGGGTTTGGAGACAAAGAATTTTATACAGGTTCAGGCCTTCTTATTTAAGAAGAAATACCCTACTCCTGTCCGGGGATGATTCCGCCGAGTATGTTATTGATTGTATAAACTGGAAAAAAGAATCTCGCCCCGAGAGGCACACAGACCCCTCCTTATATAGGGGAAGAGGTCCGCTTTACAAAATACAGTCCATATCCTAACGGAATATGGGATTATAGATAAAATACAATCATAACCGACTAAGATCTCGGGTATTTCCTTGACATACAAGTTTAGAATCTAACCCGAGTCTTCATAGAGATATTCTATCTATATTTGGTACCGTATATCCGACTAAATTATAACTGTCATGTAGATATGGGGTATCCATAATCTCCACATATATCACATGTTAATATATATATTTTTTTAAAAAAATATAACTATTTACAACGAGAGAACTGTTGTCAAGAGTTTAAAATCCACTCTTGTGCATGTGCAGGGGCAGTTATCTGTGCGTGGGTAGAAGTCTCAGCGCAGTCAACTAGTCAAGCACCGCGCTCTGGCCTGTTCTAGCTAGGCCCCGTTACATCAACTTAGGCTTTGCTTTTTTTTTTAATGAATGATCGATCGGATATTTCAGCATTTAAAATAAATTAAACATTAAGTTTAGCTAAGTGTAGTTTAATTAGAGCAAGTCATTCAAACAAGGCTAATGTACAATTCAAACAAGGCTGAAAAGAATTTTCCCGACTGAATGAAACGTGAAGTCTTTCGCTATTACTATTGTCACCAAGATGATTGTCGACAGGTTATACCCGCCTACGACTGTGGCGGATCCAGAAAATCAATTCGTTGGTGTCATGACGTGTCTATCAATGTCGTAGTATGCTAATTATGTTTAGATCATTGGTGTTATAATAAATAGATAGCAGTTTTGTTATAGGTTTTGCTGAAAGTCGTCGGTGTCGCCTGACACCGGCCCTTCTACTGTAGATCCGCCCCTGGCCTATGATATTTGTAGAGTATGGAGGTCGTTGGTGCCAAGGTATACGTGACAAGTTAAAAAAGACGGTGGGCATGATTTTTTATACATGTTCGGGCCTTTTATCTAATAGGTAATACCTATACTATTGTTGGTCGAAGATGGTATTACATTTATATATCAGCATCACACGAGTATAATATTTGAGCTAACCTAATCTAGTCTCTGGCGGCTTAGTGGTGGCATGGAGCTCTCACATGTGGTTGATGGCTAGCTGCTAGTCAAACTTTCTCGGATATGAACTCGGCGAGATCGGAATTGTCTCTATATCCTTCATGTCGGCCATTGTATTTTCTACATTGTGCTTGTCTAGATCTATATTGCCTTGTCTTACATGTTCTGTCTAGATGTGTTCCCTCTACTCATAAGGGGTCTTGTATTTATACCATCGGGTGCTCCCTTGTCCAATGAGGCAAGTTTAGATATGATCCGAATAGTTCTTGTTGAGCTTGAGTAGGTAAAAATTAAAATTAATTTATAGATAAAACTTTTATATATGTGTGCTTAGCGTCTAAAAACTTTAGGGAATAAATAATAATTTATAGGTAAAACTTTTATACATCTTAAAAGCCAATGCTAAAAAAACTACATTAAAAATATCTTAAAATCAAATTTTAAATTAAGTTTAAAAATTTAAATTTTTGGCATTGACTTTTTAGAGCAACCAATGAGACACTAACACCATATATGGTTTAAACCGAAATACATTTTAACAACAGAAGTTGACCGCACCCCCTACAAATCGGGCATCCGATTTGTTTGTCAAAAATCGGGCGTTGTTTCATCAAGTAGATCGAAAATGTTTCAATCTCTTAAAATGCTGAAACACAATCAAATCATACCATAAAACATTTTGTTGCAATGTATAAAACAACGTTTCAAATGTATTAAAACATGAAACAAATCCGAGTACATCGAGAAAAAGAATGAAATACCAACGAATTTAAAAATGTTTCAATGCTATAAATGCTGAAACACAATCAAAACACACAATGAAACATTTTGCTACAACGTATAAAACAACGTTTTCGAATGTATTGAAACATGAATAAATCTGAGTACATAAAAAAAAAAGAACAAAACACCATCGAAAATCCACTGCAACATTTCAATCTAAACTGATGAAACATCATGGTACATAGAGTGAAACATTAAAAAATCAAGAGGAAAATCTAGATCTACCTCCACTCTGGTGGTTAGCAACCCACGAGCTCGTGCTGGTACTGGTGGACGTAGTAGCAGAAGGGGCACGCCGTCTAGAACTCCGGGATTTGGTCACGACGGCTGGCTAGGACGAGGTAACATGAGGGTGGGGGACGAGGGCAGCAGAGGAGGGCCGCGGACGGTGGTTGGGATCAGAGAGGATGGCGTACGCGTCGTGGATGAGACTGAGGGCGACGTTGGTGCCCGGGTGGGTTGCTGCCCTGCTTGAGGAGAGGAGCGCGAGGCGGCGGTAGGCGCAGGATACTGCGACGTGGTCGGCGTGGTTGGTGTCGGGGGAAGCTGAGGATGGCGAGTGGGTCAGCGTGGCTCGAGTGGAGGAGCGACTGGGAGGAGAAGAGGACATTGGTGACGGCGAGGAGCTCGTCTCCACCGTCTGCTCTATGAACCGCTTGCAGCCGACAAGGTCCCACGCCGCGAGGAGTTTCCCCGCAATATCCAGCCACTGCTCGGCCTGCATCCTCCTGGACGCGACTCCGCCGCCGTTGGTGCTACCGCCGGAGAAGTCCATGGTAGGGCAGAGATAGGGGAGATGGGGGAAATGGTAACCCTTTTAGTTTCTGCGCTGCGTGTGGCGAGTGAGTGGTCAGCAGCCGCCCGATAGAAGCCCCTCCGCCTCGGTCTCTCCATAATGAGCATTTTCGAAAGTTGACACATTGTACTAACAAAAACTAGATCAGAGATCACTTCCTAGTAAAATGAACACTCAACATCACAAAACTTTCACACTGAAGATAGTACTAGCTAGTTGTTGCGGTTAAGTCGTGGTCAGTGGCGGAGCCAGAAATTTTCTTGAGCCTGGGCAAGCCTAACAAGAGATAAAAACTATATATAGAAAATTGTACGTTTATCATAGACTTAAAGTTGATTGTTGCCAAGTTACAATTTATCAATGAAATGTTGGTTGTTTATTGTCAATGAGTTAAGAGTACGGGGCTACTATACATTAGGAAAGCAAGATTAGGAATGTGGTACAACTCTTTGCTTGGGCTTTATATTTAGCAATATGAAGATTTTGCCCTTGCTTTGCTTGTTTGTTGGCTAGTCATCTAATTAACCTTCCTTGGAACCAGGAAGCAAGGTAATTATGTAAGCAATTAATGAGTAAATGATGTTTATGCTGTGGAGCAATGTGTGTTGCGATGGCATGGAGCCCGGGCAGCTGCCCGTGCTGGCCGGGCCCTGCCTCCGCCACTCGTGGTTATGTAACTCTGTCAATCTAGGATCACATACTAGCTCGTGCCTAAAATTATGGCCGTGCGCATTCTTTCTTCATGTAATGACCAAAAGTCACACTATAATTTTCTAATATATATATATATATATAGAGGACACTCATATGGGGCACCATGGTGCCCGGGCACCATGGTTTCAAATGCACAAAATTACTCAAATTTTTCAAAATTTTTAAATTGTGAGTATATACCTAGTTATAAGAATTCGATTCATACATATATCTATCAACAAAACAACTCAAATTTAACTTTATTTCACAATTCATGATTACATACCTAACTAATTATATGTATGGATGCTATATACCTAGAATCAAAATCTAACAAAAACAAGTTCAAATTCAGTTCAAACTTGCTTTGAACTAGTTAGTAAAGTAGTTAATGTTAATACCTAAATAATTGAAAAAGTTTCATACTCATTTGAATTGGTTATATACTCAATTTCAACAATGGTGCCCGGGCACTATGGAGCACCAAACAAATTTACTATATATATATATATATATTGTAAAGTTTTGATCGGGTACAATTTTGAACGTAGTTGCAGTATATCTTAACCCGAACAAGAAAAAGAATAGTACAACGCACAAAAGAAAATTGACAAAGTGTGATCGTTTACAACCTACTGCAGTGCATCTTATTTAAGAGAGAAACCAGATAACGGCTTGGTTTAGTTGCTAACTTTTCTTCAAACTTTCAACTTTTCCATCACATCAAAATTTTCCTACACACATAAACTTTTAACTTTTCCATCACATCGTTTCAAATTCAATCAAACTTCCAATTTTAACGTGAACTAATTAGTCCATCGTGAAAGTTGATAGGCCTGGACTAATTAGTCTACGAAATCACCGACAAATGAATAGACAGTTTCTTAACTTTTTTAAAAAAATGTATTAATATGATTTTTTTAAAACAACTTTAATTAGAAAGCTTTTGCATAAATCACAACATTTAGTAGTTTGAAAAATGTGCGCGCGAAAAACGTGATAGGTAGGTTGGGAAAATGGGGGAGAACACATCAGTAAGAGCAAGGTCAATAATGCAGCCCACTGTTGGCTTCAAAAGATAGCCATGTCATTTATAGTAAACGTTGTAGCTAATGTCTATACAATAGGAAATACTATAACATAAATATTTTATTTTTTATGGGACCCACCATCTTTCCAACATGTAGCATTTTCTGCTTCATATAGTGTCTAGCCATTTCGGAGGCCAGTCGTTGGTGCTTTGCATTTCTTGAAGTGCGTGTGCAGTCGGCGACTAAATAGTCGCCGGCTCACGCCATTTTTTTGTCCAGCTCACTCTTTTTTGCCAGGGTGTGCATGCTGTCGCCGGCTTGCAGGGTTTACTGTACCTGCTCTAACAACCACGACCCGAGCCGTAAGAGCAGGTACAATAGCAGGCTATTAGCCAACTGTAAACATATTTTAACGAGATAAAAAATGAAAGAGAAGAGTAGCGGGCTACATATATGTTGCCAGCAGCAGCGCGGACTCCAAGACACAATGTGTGTATGACAGGTGGGACCATATATTAATAGTATAGTAAGCAACTATTGTATGAATTGATTATTAGATTAGCTATAGATAAATTGGAGCTAGTAGTGGGCTGTACTATTAAACTTGCTCTAAACCGCGAAACTCCCAACGCGCGGCCCATCAAAATCAACGCTCCCAGCCGTACAACTCCCAACCGGGCCAGCCCAGCCGCAGGTTGATCTCAAGCTGCGCGCCTGCGCCACGCCAAGCCTTCGCTCCGCCGACATGAGCCGAAGCAGATCGTCGGGCACGCCGGCCCCCTCGCCCATCGCGTTCACCGCCACCGTCAAAGCCTTCCTCGCCCCAAGCCGGAAGCTGGGAGTGCTCCCGTACGCCAGGGGGATGCCGGCATAGGAGAGTCTCCACCATACGGCACATAACTGATCCCGTAAGACGTGGGCACCAGCGTAGAGAGATTTACGCAGATACGAGACCAACGAGCAATCTATCCCATATTGATCCGTTTTCATGTATTCCCAGGATGATACTACAAATCTACAATTTCCGGGGAAATATCCCGGGGTAAATCGTCGACAAGATGAGAAGAGCTTCACGTGATCTCGAGCCAAATACTACGGAGCACCGCCAATCTTCTGACGAAGACGGCAAGTGCAAAATAGCGCACTCGTGACAGGATCATCATCTCGAGCTTGATAAGAGATTGCTCCTTTAGGCCTTGTTCGATTACGCCCGGATTTAATTCGGGTCGGGAATGACAAGTATAGTAAAAAATTTATATAGATACAATAAGAGGCCGGGATTTATTCTGGACCGGGAACCAATTTACTCATGATAGAGATAGTAAGAGACCGGGAATCAATCCACTAGTCAAGAGGTGTGGAACTAATCCGGATATTTTGTTGTTCTCTATCATAAGTAAATTGATTCCCAACCCAAAATAAATCCCAGTATCTCATTATATTTATCATAAATTTCTTGATATACTTATTATTCCGGATTGAATCCGGGCGTAACTGAACAAGGCCTTATGGTCTTCGCCATCGTGCTCCCCTTCTACTACGTCTTCTACAGCCGCCCGTCCGAGTTTTCCGTCCAACTCACGGCTGTGCGCGGTCTCGCCACGCCGGCCGCCGCCGCTGGTGGCGCGTCCACCATCTCCCCTGTCTTCAACGTCACACTGCACGCCAACAACCGGCACGGCACGGAGAGATGCTACCGCAGCGGGCTTCACCGTCGCGTCCGGCCGCGCGCCGGGCTTCTGAGTGCCGGGGAAAGGGGTCCGAAAGATGCCGTTCCTGGCGTGGGCTGACGGCGTTGGCCTTCCCGAGCAGCTTCGTGACCGCACGGCCATAGAGCGGCGACTCGGCGCCATGCAGCTGGATGTCGAGGTGAAGCTGTTGGGGCGCGACGGCGGCTCGGCGCCCAGGCCGACGTGGATATCCTGCAGGCTGAGGATGGATGAAGCGCAGCCACCCGACACGGCACCGTGCACTGTGCTGGCTTTGCAGAACTGGTTTTCCCAGTTACTGTAAGAGTAAGACTGAACATTGGAGGAAAGTTTCAAGAATATTTTTTTCGTTCAAAAACATTGGAGGAAAGTTATGGCAGAGCAGTTCGTTTTATCTATTTTTTTTAATCACATAGCATTTCATACGGTCAAAACTCAAACAATGTAGGGTTAATTAGGCAGAATTTTTCAGTTTTTCACATCTTATTGGGGGAATAGTTGATCTATACCTATGCTCTGTTTCATGCATTTGGATTATTAGTAGATCTCACCATTTGAATCGAGAACCGAGGTGGACAGAAAAATAACCTCTCTGTTTTAGCTGATTCCAGCCGTATATTTAGAGCTGTTATTATAACATTATATGCCCTTGCATTCTTTTTTTAAAAAATACTCCCTCCATCTACTTTTGATAGTCATATTTCATCTTGACACACAGATCAAAGATAAGTAGTTCTACTTATCATTCATTTAAGCATGCTACTAGTCATTCCTCGTAAACAAGCGATTCATTAATATTTACATTTCTCAAAGCCCATGTAGCCAATCATGTGTGGAAGAATAGAGAGTCATGCATTAAATTCAAGAAAATCATTAAGATGATAAGTTGTTGGATTGAAATATGCCTATCAAAAATAAAATTTTCAGATTTGGAAATATGACTATCAAAAGTAGATGGAGGGAGTATAACATTATATGCAAAGCTTGTAACATGACGTCGCGGGTGCTTGTTTTGAGAGAGGCTTTTTCTTGTAAAATGTGAATGCCCGGTGTTTTTTTACTCCTCAAGATACAGGGTTTTCATAAATCACTTTATGAATAAAAGGGTAGAAATAAGAGTAGACGCCGTGTCCTGTATTTTGGAAGTCGTGTTTCTAGGCCAGCATAAATACTGGAGTACTATACAAAATATTAGTGATCACTGATCAGGTGTCCTGTAGTCCTGCTGTTCTGAACAAGAGCGAGGTTGAATGTCAACACTAGTCCAGCAGTACTACCTTGGAGTAGTACCTACAGCCAAAGCTCTGAACTTCTGAAGTCTGAACTACTCCACGGGTTTGGAGCAGCGGATCCGGACGTGGCCGGGCGACCCGGTGAGCGGCTCAAGCGCGGCAAGCTTAACCATTGCGTGCGCGAAGTCCTCGCGGAACACCTCCTCGCCGCGCTCCCCGGCCGCGTACACGCGCACCCACCGCACGGTACTCCCCGCCGTGAGCTGCTGGTCCGACCGCAGGATGCCCCGTCCACCGAGAAGCTTCGCGTAGTAGTGCGCGCCGAAACCCACCTCCCTCCCCTGCCGGTAGTACCCCATCTCCATCGGCGCGGCGCCGTCGCCGTCGCACACCGCGCGCATCTCTTCGACCATGTCGGCGTCGATGGTGTCGTCAGGCTCGCCTGTCCCGGCGAAGTTGTCGATCCTGTCCTTGAAGAATCTGCAATGCACCTTCCCGATGCTATGTGCTCCTGCTACAGCGCCAACAAAAATCAAATGCATATGCATGCGCGCGAGCGCCAATGGACAGACGGAGGGACGAACGGGACGGACCTAAGAGCGCGACGGTCTCGCGCTCGGTGAAGCCGCGGCGGGCGAACGCATCGAGCGTCACGGTGTAGGTGGCGTTCGGCGACGGGATGCGCGCGCCCACCTCGTCGTAGAAGGCCCTGGCGCTGTCGCTGCGTCCGGTGAGCACGGGATAGCTCGGCCCGCCCGCTAGGACGAGGCTGTCCCGCGCGGCGAGGACCAGGATGTCGGCGCAGGAGACGGTCCGCGGGCACGCCGCCTCCAGCCTCGCCTTGATCTTGTCGACGGCGCCGAAGCCTCTCAGCGACTGGTTCGGGGCCGCTTCCCTCTCCGACTTGTCGCCGTTGATGCGGTCCAGGAGCACCGAGGCGTCGCAGCCCTGCACGCGCGTCACGGGGAAGGGAACACCTTGGTTGTGTCAAGCGTGCGAGTGTAGAAAGGACAGCATGACTGTGAATGAGACGCGACGCGCGGAGCACGCGTACGTGGATGAAGCAGTCGTGGAAGAAGAGGCGGACGAGCGCGGCGGCGACGTTGGGGTTGGCGAGGTAGAGCTCCCGCACGGTGGACGACACGATCCCCTCGGCGTCGGGGCAACTCTCGTCGTAGAACCCGTACACCAGCCCGCGCGGCTGCGTCTGCGGGAAGAAGGAGAAGGACGCCGAGCCGTCACCGCCTCCGCCGCCGTCCTCCTCGTCGTCGAGCAGGAGCGCGTACGACGACCGTCTGGCCACCGCACAGATGTTGGCCGTGCACAGGATCAGCGAGACGGCCGCAAAGCGCAAGCCAGTCGCCGGATCAGGCCGTCGCATCGCTTCCACCGTTCCTATTCCGATGCTGGTGTCTGGGATTGAGGTGTAGGAATTAGGAGGTGATCAGGTGAAGCCGTCAAGGCAAAAGATTCTTTTAGAATGGGCGGGAAATCATTAAATCAAGAACTAAAAACGTCTGCACTCTGCATCCGTTGCATTTCATACGTACGTTCGCTTGTGGCTTGTTGCTTGGTGCTGAATGTGCCGGAACCTGATGCAAGGTAAATAAACCATCTTGTCAGTATGCAGTTCTAGATTGTGTCAAATAGGGAGTGTCAATGGAAACAAGAGTTACATGCTCTGTTTACTATGTTTTTGTGTATAGGGTTGTGTTTTCTACTTTGCGTGGCAGCTAACTAGCAGGGCCATGGGAGAAAAATTTTGGTTATTGCCTTCTTGGAAGTTGGAAGTAATCAAAACCAGCTAATTGTTGCGACTTTTCCTTTTTCATTTTTAAGTATCTGTTGCGACTGACTTGAAGTCTTTCACAGAGAGCCAAAAGGATATTTTTACTGATTCACAAATTAAACGTAGTTAGGATAAAGAATGGAGGAGGTTAATAAAAACAACGTGGTTCTCGTGTCAAAGAACAGGAAAATATTTTTCTTATACCTGCAACAGCTGTAAATCATAACTTATAGTTACCACTTCCACGACACTATGGAACTACCTACCTGTGCCCCATTATACACGCATTAAGAAAGCATAAACAAATGGTATTGGAGAGGGGCAAGAAATGTGACTACGACAATTTCACGCACAGGACATTTGATCGTGTTCCAAACTGAGCATTATATTTGGATTATAGTGAAAAGTGATTTTGAATTTTGACTTTGAAAGACAAATTTAACTGGATTTTTATTTGTATCATTCGTAAACATGAAAAGATGGTGGGCACCGATAGTGACAAAGAAATTAATTCTAAAATCAAATTGTAAAATTCAAAATCAGTCAAGCAGACGACTAAGTTCTTAGGGTAAAAAAAAAGACGGTAGTTGTAATTGTGAGATTTTTTTAAATTTTTTCAACCTTTTTATTTCTTTGGTTTTAGCAATAAAACCTTCGAAAACTTATTTTTAGAATGTGAACCTTTTTACCACGTCAGTCCTTCTGACATGGCAAAAGAACATGCTCCCATATCCCCCGATCCCTTAATATTCTACCGTGGTATCGCGCTGGTCCTGGCTCAGAACTAGTACGCTGTAGGAGAAGTTTTCTGCTATCACCAGTGCCATGCGAGGCAGACTGCTAAGCATGACAAGTGCACGCCAATTGCCAGTGAACGGCTGCGGACAGCGGACCGTACAAATAGTGGGCGAACAGGATACCCAACATCGGGATTCAGGAAATCTGGAATCTACAACTACCTCCGTCTTGATACCCAGGTTCACCGATCGACCGGGCACGGATTCTTGTTCTACTGCGAGAACGACGGCTCGAAAGAGAAGCCGCAATATCACGGTAACCAGAATACAGTTTCCGGTGTATAAGAGTAGCGGAAGAACGCATCCATGCACTTGCTCGGTTGCTCGCTCCGATGTGCAAGTGTGCCTGCGCTGCGTGCCGGGCGTTTGATCCCAGATGCGATCGCCACCGACCCACGCACCGATCGGAACGGCGGAACCCGGAGGTTTTATGGTGCGAGACGTTGCGCGCGGCTTCAGAAGAAAAAAAAAAGGAAAAAGAAAAACACAGCACCTCGCCGGCTCGGCGTAGCAACTAGCAACTGGCTAACCGGCGGCCGGGGCTAGCTTTCGGCGAACGCTGCGTCGAGATGAGAGATAAGACGGCACGACGAAGGAAGGACGGAGTGACCGATCGTGCATACATCATATCGGCGAATCTCTTTATCCTTCTCGGATTGAGAACGAAAAGATCAGATCAGGTATTAATGGGAAAAAGTATAGATAAATTTCAGGCCGGAACAGAGAATAATAACTTATCCGGCAGAGAGGGTGTCTTCAAAACGCAGATAAGCAGGAATATTTTGTGCCATCGTGATATCTTTATTTGATTGTTATGGGTGCCTCGAGCAGTCTGAATCCCGGAATGCTACTTCATGGTCCAATGCTCATATGGAAGGTATTAACGAGATGCTAGTTATCAATGAGAAACTGTAGGCCTGTTTGGTTGCTCGCACACTTGCATTATATGGGTGGGATTCGAAGCAAGAGGAACTACGAAGAATGTCAAAAGAATAACGTGAGTGGAGGACGTCTCATATCTCTTTCTTTCAAATTCAATATAAATAGTTATAAAAAATTTAAAATATTTTGATAATGTAGAGACAATGGCATATAATATTTCACAAAATTGAAGTACAAATTCGACATACACATTGAGAAAAAAAACAAATCCAGGTATGAATTATACCACTACTATTCATATCTGAATATCTTTACTCCTTTAAAAGCCCAATATAGCTAGTCTTTTTTTATCTCAATGTGTCTGTTGAGTTTGACTTAAAATTTTGTGGAATGATATATGTATGTTGTATAAATTTTGTAAGTTTTTTAAAAGAATTTTTCATAACTATTTGAATGGTTTTAGGTAAATGAGGGGACATTCCTTGAGGTTTAAAAAAGTTTCCCAAGAACAACTTTAAGATTCTTAAGGATTTGATACCGTAAAACTGTACCATCTGGGCATTTTCACCCATCAGTTTGTTGAAACCTGACCTTTTTTCCTCTCGTTGGCAACCAATCACTAGATGGATTACAGTGGGTGGCGGAATGGCAAAAATTACTAGAGCATAACGTGTCACGCTTTGAACTCAAAGAAGAAGGTGGTTTTCAAGAAGAGGTTGCAGGTTGGGCTATATAAATCTGATAGCACGTTAAACAATTCTTTTTTTTTATTGGTGTAGGAATTATGTAGTACTATGCTAAGTTCATTTTCTCCCAACCAATTTTACAAGGTGTTCTATGGGTCAGAGTACCAAAGAGTAAGAGTGAGGTGCTAATACCCTCTAACCTATGAAAATTTCTCTTTACGGATCGGCGAGCACATCTACAAATCTTCAATTGCTCTGTTATTTTAGACGATCTAACAATTCTCAAAACAGGGCCCTGCTCTGCTTTGCTTGCACGCAGGGCTAAGCAATCTCACGGCGAAGAGTCACATGCCACAAACCCACGTCTCCCAATGTGCGCGCTTGCTTTGCCAAGTGCATTGCCCTTTTGTTGCATCAGCTTAGTGCAAGTCCGATGCACGGTTCACTGGCTTTCTTGCAATCTCTGTGTGCTGAGAGAGTGAGGCGTCCCTGTCAATGACAGCTTTGTTCGAAAGCACACGTACACTGATGACACACATACTCCCCCGTCAACACCATGCCCTAACTTGAACACGATGAGACGTTGCATTCATCCGGACATTCATTGAGATAATGAAACCGTGATTAATTCTTAAACAGCCCTTTCCCTTTCCTGAGTTACAAAGTTTTCTTCAGTAGTTGTTCCTGTCAAGCGGTTGATTTTCTTTCCAATCCCCAAATGCAACCCATCTCTTTCACCTCGCTTAACCGAGCACGTTTTATTTCTCATTGATCAGACAGCATTTAACACATCGTGTCGTAGTTTCATTAGCTGCTGATCATTCCAAACAGTGAGACACTCACCGGGCGTGCAAAGCGTGCCCTGGTTTCTTCTTCGTCTAATGGTCACACGGCATCGTTTTCGCTCGGAGGAAGAAAGCGATCAGATTGGACGCGAGACGGCGCAATCGGATCTGCATGGACATGCCCCGCATAACAATAGTTTACACGAGAACGTGAATCATACGAGGCTGGCAACCAAATGCAGCATGATACCCAGGAAATTTAACAATTCCATGATGAGAGCTGTTTCAATTATATACGTAGAAGTATTATGGACCAGACCTCCCCCATCAACATCCATGCTACTGTAACTGTAAGCCGCACATTTGCAAGGAAAGGACCGCGAAAGCAGCGACGTCTTAGTTTTTCTTTTCTTCTTTGAAACGGACCGTCTTTGTATTTTCGGATCGCACCGTGCATTTCTCGTCTGATTAGGTAGGTAGCAAACGGACGATCATTTGGACCGTCTGATTAAATATCACCGGCCAAGTTTGGCAGACATAATTGAACGCAATTTATTTGCACAATCGATGGGAATTCTGGTAGTACCAAACTTGTATAAGCCATTTGATGAAATGTTTTTTGTCTCATATTTTCCAGTCCCCTCACCAACACTTGTTTGGTTGTCTAGCAACCATATCATTCTGGCTGCCAACATGGCAGAGTGGTCAGACCGCACCGTGACACGTCGACTGCAACCTAGCGGGTGAGATTTATCGCTGTGCATCGTTTTCCTCTCGAAAGCTGCATAAAAAAGAGAGAGAGAGAGAGAGAGAGCAGAAAACAATTCGCTCGTGTCCTTTATAAATACCCTCACGCCACGGCCAGTAAGCCTCCCCCTCCCCTCCTCTCCTCTCATCTCCTCCACACTTTGAGGAAACGTCTAAGCACAAGTGCTAAACGCGATTAGAAGGCAGCGAAATCGTACACTAAATTGCACGGATTAGAGATAGATCTCAAGCAATGGGGGAGGAGAAAGTGGCGCCGAAGTCTGACGCTGCCCCGGCGGTGGAGTTGCTGGGGTTCGTGATGAGCGCGGAGGAGGCCGAGCGCGCCGCGGCGGCGGCCGGGGTGGAGACGGTGGAGGACCTGCTGCCGCTGCTCGTCCCTTCCGCGATGCGGCGCGCGCGTGCCCCGATCTCGCGGTTCCCCGTGGGCGCCGTGGGCCTCGGCGCGAGCGGCCGCGTCTACGCCGGCGTCAACCTCGAGTTCCGGGGCCTCCCGCTGTCCCATTCCGTCCACGCCGAGCAGTTCCTTGTCGTCAACGCGGCCGCCGCGGGGGAGTCGGAGCTGCGCGCCGTCGCCGTCTCCCACATGCCCTGCGGCCACTGCCGCCAGTTCCTCCAGGAGATCCGCGGCGCCGGTGGGATCCGAATCATTGTCACCTCCGACGCCGAGGACGGCTGCGCCCCCGAGTGGCGCACGGTGGCGTCCCTCCTCCCGCGCCCCTTCGGGCCCCATGATCTCCTCCCCAAGCACGTCCCCCTCGTCCTCGAACCGCACGACAACCCTCTCGGCGAACCCGCCGCCGTCGCCAATGGCTTCGCCCACGGTGACCTAGAGGCGCGCCTGAGGGAGGCAGCGGAGGCGGCCGCGCGGGCGGCGCATGCGCCGTATAGCGAGTGCCCGTCGGGATTCGCCGTGGCGGACGGCGAAGGGAAGGTGTACGCCGGAGGATGCCTGGAGTCCGCGGCGTATAATCCGACACTAGGCCCCGTGCAGGCGGCCATCATAGGGATGGTGGCCGCCGGGGGCGGCGCCGCCGGAGACGTGGTGGCGGCGGCGCTCGTGGAGAAGGAAGCGGGGTTGGTGTCGCAGGAAGCGACGGCCAGGATCTTCCTGGCCGCGGTGGCCCCACAGGCCACCTTCCACGTGTACAATTATACACCGTCCGATGCATGATGCGCATCACTGATCCCCGTGGTGGGTGGGGAGGGAGTGTAGGAGGTGAGGTTTGGAACGAGATAATGTTCATAAAAAAAGAAGTTAAGAATAAAACGATAAGAAAATAACCTTGTGTAGTTGGGTCACTGGGTGATTAGCTGGTGGACACTGACAATCAGGATCCACTTGTTCAGAGTGATTAATACTCCTCTGTTATGTGTATTTAAGGAGAAAAATAAAAAAATATAAATTGCCAGTGTACAAGTAGAACTGTACTAGAGTGACGCATGTATTTATCTTGGAAGTTAGGAGTATCTTGGAAGCAATTTGTTTGTCTTTCGCCGTCTCTTGCTGGAAGTTTACATCTCTTACATCTTTTTTCTGCATGAGTTACACAAGATAGGCTAATAATTACCATGAGAAAAAAAAATGGCTGGACCTACACTACAGTGGGACATGCTGTGGTCACTACTGATTATCCAATCATGCAAGCTGGTTCTTCTTTCTTGCAAGCCTCAAACACACATAAGTGATAGCTTTATGAACTTTTCTTGTGGGGCTGAATTTAAAGTAGTTAGTTGCCCACAGAATAAAGCAATGGTGGACATTTAACCTGTTCTGGACAAGATATTACCCCTAAAAAATCATTTAGTCAAAAACAATGAAACCTATCCTTCTTCTCTTTTAATTAGATAATGCAAGTGCAATTACGAAATTATGGTCAAGACTGTCTTATATAAGCATTTTCTTGCGTTATTTTCTGGCAGGAAATTTCGTGTGCATGCCAACCTTGAATTATATGCTGGCCCCTCTTGCTTCTTAAATGAAGTGTACCAGGGAAAACAGCAACCTAGACATAGAAAAGGATGGTCCATGACAGGGTAGTAGTAATATCAGTCACTTAGGTCTTAATAAAAAAGCAGCTGCAAAATTCTGACCGCGATTCCATCATAGTTTGATTAGGTTACTATACCAACCTTGCGTCCAAACTAGTCGCTTTCCGATGGTTACGCGAGCTAGCTTGTGCTCGACAGCTTGAGCAAGCTCTGCAACCAACGCGAAATTAGCCTGACCGATTTGTTTTTGCCTCGCTGAGAATGCATCGGAGCACAGAGTAAACGCAACATATGCAGTAGAAGAAGAAAGAAGATGTGGCCAGGTAAATTTCTCAGAAGAGACAACAACTAAACTTGAGGCAAGAGTTGGAGCTACTTCCATGGATTCCAGGGACAGATCTGGAAGGCGATATCCCGTGTCGGTTGTTCTGCAATTTTTGTAATGCAAGCAGCTACTATACTAAACTAATCGCAGTCTCTGATCTAATCAGCTGTCACATCCAATATAAATAGTAATCCTGACGCATAATCATCGCTTACAAGGTCATGAGCTGCTATCCTGGGTTGTCTATCTCGTACCCATGAACGGTTCAAAGGGGGTAGTTCAGTGCATCAAGTAACATATTCATCTTGTCTGGGAGGAGAAAAAAGACAGCAGAGAAACGGCTTAAAAGTACACTGCCTCGCCGTGCCTTGCACACCCTATGTGTGGCCGGACAGAGGTCTCGCAATCATGTGCGTCGGCATCGCAGTTGGCATCAGCATTTTTTTTGGTTTATTGGAACTGATAGTACAGTAGGTCCCAAGATTTCACACCTTGTGGCGTTTGCATGGCTGTGCTGTGCCGCACCCTTTCTTTTCTTTCTGATGGGTAGCCAACGAATGTGCTGTGCTCCTTGGTGGTTGGTACTGAAATGCATCAAGCAATGATACACTGAAAGTTGAGTACAACTTAACCAGGTACAACTTAACAAGCTAGCAGCATCACCACTTAACCAGGTATGAATTCAGTTGTTTCACCGAAGGGGGGGGGGGGACCCAAGGGCCAAGTATGATAAGGTGTTCTAGTTACCAAATGCCCAAACTATACTTATGCAGACAGGACATGCTGATCTTGTTTGAAATTGGAAATCTTGCTCTAGCAAATATCAGCATGCATACACTGGAGCATAAGTTCAGTTGATTTCATGTCTACCATCTTCAGTTATCAGAGTATCCTTGTATAAGTTCGGGATTTTAAAATAAGTTTACAGGAACATACTACAGAGTGCCCTTGAAGAGTTGTATTACCATGGTAAACATTTCTCTGGGGGAAGTGACCATCTTCAGTTACTATGAACTACAGTATGTTCTTCTGAACAAAACAGGGCCGCGCCTCTACCAACATGACCTTTAAACACCTGCAGATTACTACCATAAATCGAAGCATCAATCATCTGCAGATTACTAGTATGCTAGATTGCTAGAATAACAGATAACAAACCAATCATACATGATCATGTTTGTCTACAACATAAGTTTTATATATGCAGCAATTACCTTTTTCAAATATCAGAATATTCAAGCTGCCATAAGCAGAAACCGACAGATACGAAGTTTTTAGCTGATGGTCAATTAAAATGAGATCAGTCTTTTCAGAGCATAAAAGAAACCTATAATGTAATTTGCTCTGGTTTGCTGTACCAGTGGCAATAACCTCTTTATGTAAGCTTGGGTTGTTCAGTCCCGCACTCTCGCAGTCGCAAGGTACCATTTCACAATCAATCATTTTACTAATTACTGGCAAAGTGGCAATAAGGCAGTAATTACTACCCATAATTTTTAGGGAAAATTTGAACCATGCCACATAAATTTTGTAAAATTTGTGATATGCCACCCTGACCCACATGTCATTGACTCATGTGGGTCCTACATGTCATTGAGATACGGGTGACATATCTCAAATTTTGCAAAATTAGAGTGGCATGGTTCCAACAAACCCTTTTTCTAATTTTTATGTAAGCCGTGGTTGGTCAGTAGCACTAGCATTTTACTGTTATAATGGTCTACTCTCTTTTTTTCCAAAAAATTAAACGATCCTAGTGTCGACGTTTGATGTCGCGATTTCGGTATTTGCATAGTATGAGAATCGTTGGTATTAGAATATATGCGAGATTATAATAAAAGAGATGGGGACGAGGATTTTTATACAGGTTCGGGCTCCTGAATTGTCAGATAATAACCCTACTCCTGTTGGCCGAAGCCGGTCGTTACTTTTATTCACCATAATCACACTAGTACAATATTTGGGGTAGCATATCTAAACTGTTGTCAACTTAGCGGTCTGAAATGCTGACTCGTAATCGACAACAGGGTAGCCTTCCTCCTCGAATCCGCATCCGGCGAGATCAAAGACAGCGCTATGTATCTCCTGACAGTATCCGCGGACACCGTAGGGGACTAGCCATGCTTATCTCTGAAGTCGATATCCGGCGTCTTGTCTTGGCGCATGTTGGCTTGTATGTTGATCTTGTGTCTTGATCTATTGTTCCGTGTCCCCTCTCCTCCTAAGGGGCCTTGTATTTATACCCATAGGTGTCCCCTTGTCTAAGTAGAACTAGGGAAACCAATATGGATATAATCCAAGTAGTCTTTGTCGTTTCCATGTATAACTCTATTTATCTTTCCTTATCCGGAATTCCCTCCATACCCGAGGTCGGATTCCGTATAAGACATGGTTAATTGTGGGAACTGCCGAGATTTAGTCAACTACTACTAGGTATGTGACATCCATAACCTTGACACCTAGTATTATTTTAGGACAAAAAGAAAAAGAATAGATCATTAAGTATTACAAGTTTCGATATATTTGTGTTATATAAGACTTGTTTATTTTAAGACAGAGGGACTAACCTACCACTCTCTCCATTTCAGGTTACAAGACGTTTTGACTTTTGTCAAAATCAAACTGTTCTAACTTTGACCAAGTTTATAAAAAAAAGTAGTAACATTTTTAACCCAAGATAAATTTATTATGAAAATATATTCGATTATTGATTTGATGAAACTAATTTAGTATTATAAATATTACTATAATTGTCTATAAACATTAAACTTTAAACAGTTTGACTTTGGTCAAAGTCAAAACGTATTGTATCGTAAAATGGATGGAGTACTATCATTTTCTAAAAGGGATACGACTATCATGTTAGATTGCGCATAACTGAACGGAATGCATAAGAAGTTGGCCAATTGGGAAGGCAAACACACTCATCGCTCGGTTTATGGGAGAACAGTCTCACGGACAGGGCAGGGCCCACATGGCAGCAGCTCACAGGAGCCAATGAACCAGACCAACCCCAATCCACCAACGATGCATCCGCTGATCCGCGTCTCTGCGACGCGCGTGGCGCCACGAAGCGCTCCCTGCGCGCGCGAGCATAAACCCATGGCGACCTCGCCTCGTGTTCCCTTTCCTAACCGCCGCGGCCGCCGCCCACCTCCATGGCCACGCTCGCGCCACGCCCCCATGAACTCCTCGCCCTGAGAAGGCCCCGTCTTAGGACGCCCCGAGCCCGCGCCTCCGGCCCCCGTGCCCGTGGCGCTCCCGTGGCCCCGCAGGCCGCGCGGCCGCGGCGCGTCTTCCTGGGCCTCGGCGCCGCTTTCGTCGACCAGCTCGCCCGCATGGCCTCCGGCGGCGCCCCGTCACGCTCGTTCGTGGCCTCAGCTCGGCCGAGGCAGGGGGTTTCCCCGGTCGAACAGGTCGTATTCCATAGTCCATTTATTGCAATTTTTTCCCCTTGCGATCGCGTGTGAGGTCTACTGATGTCAATCACGGCGTGCTGCTTGTAGATTTTGAAGAATGTTGAGTGGCCGGATGAGTTCCCATTCAAGGCCGAAGACTTCAGCCGCTTCGATGAGTGAGTAGCTCTAGCTCAGAGCAGAGCATTCATGCAGCTCAAGTCAAATCTTTTCAGTATTCGGGTAGCCAATTGGTGGTGTTCCTACTATTACCAACTTCTCATATGTGCAGCACTGTAACCAGGTAAATAGATTGGGCAGCTAGTGGATGCCTGAATTGATGCATTGTGATCACTTGGCAGATCATCAGATGCTCTGTTCTACTCGGCTCCCCGTTATGTGACTCACATTGATGACCAAGCAATCGAGGCTCTCACGAAATACTACTCAGAAGTTCTTCCTCCAAGCAACACTCCTGGGGTGGCCATCCTGGACATGTGCAGCAGCTGGGTAGGACTTTTGGTGTCTCAAGTTAACATTTTTCTTTGCAATGTCCCCTGCAATTCTTACAGTTTAGTTATACCTTATAAAGGTGAGCCATTATCCACCTGGGTACAAACAAGAGAAGATTGTGGGGATGGGTATGAATGAAGATGAATTGAAAAGGAATCCGGTATGTGCCTTTAGCAAATTGAGGTTTGTTTTTCTGAAAAGTGATAGTGTATCCGGCATGTTTAATCTACATAGAACTAGTGATTATTGATAGCAGCGGTTCATCCTCTACTTACAGAGTTGGATCATCTAGATATATTCCTTTTTTGACAATGGTTTCTTTTTGTTTCACTCTGAAAATAGGTGTTAACAGAGTACGTTGTGCAAGACCTCAATGTGAACCCGAAGCTTCCTTTTGAGGATAACACATTTGATGTTATAACCAACGTGGTACTATTTCTTTTACATGATAAGTTCAGCCTTGATAAATGAACAATTTTTTATTATTTCAAAATGCTATAGCCCATATGGCACAAGTAGCCAACTAATATTATATTTTGGCGCCTATCGGATTGCTTCTATGATCTGACAGCATAGTTTGTGTGTGTGGGTTATAGGTTAGTGTAGACTACTTGACAAAACCAATTGATGTTTTCAAGGAAATGAGACGAATACTTAAACCAAGTGGATTGGCCATAATGAGGTAATACATATAGTAACTTCATTATCATGATTAATGTGATTTACTAGTATCCCTTGTTTCTTTTATATAATCCTCTTTACTAGATGTTTATATGAAACAATCCTGAACTTTTTTTTAACTTCGGGTGTAGTTTTTCAAATCGCTGCTTTTGGACAAAGGCTATATCTATATGGACGTCAACCAGTGATGCTGATCACGCTTGGATAGTTGGGGCTTACTTCCATTATGCTGGAGATTTTGAACCTCCTGAGGTAAAGCATTTACTTACTGAAATCATTTTTCCACACTTGAATAGTTAAAAGGGCATCCAAAAGTACTCCTTATATTTACTTGTCCTTTCAACAAGTGTGTTCGTAGCAAGAACTGAAATGGCCAGCTAAGCATTGCAAACCAAGTTAAGCATTCACATTTCAATGATAGATAAACCATCAACCGTATTTATAGTTCTATAATTGCTGATTCTCTGCGCATAAACTAGAGCCATGGCATGAACGGTTTTTGTTTTCTTTACAGGCTGTTGATATATCTCCTAATCCTGGACGAACAGACCCGATGTATGTTGTCCAGTCCAGAAAGAGAATAGCTTGATTAACATCATAGGTTCTATACAGATTTTGTGTAATGCACAACGTGATGGCAATTTTTCTACTGGTCACTTTCGAAACGTAAATATGTAGACAGATCTGGCAGAGTCTCCGCTTGTCTGCTTGTGTGTCTGCTTGCCTTGCAATAAACCACATTAATACATAGCAGCTTTGTGATAGTTTTATCAAAGTATTTGTAGTTTTATGAAATTTATTTATTTGTTCAGTACCGTCGTAGTTGAATCAAGATCACCTGAAACTTTTCTCATCTTGTCGACAATTTACTCCCGAGATGCTCCCTTCCAGGATGAAGAATGGAGTACTCATCCAGCGAACATAAGAGCAAGTTTAATAGCATAGCCAACTACTAGCTCCAATTTATCTATAAACAATCTAATAGCTCATTCATACAATATTTACATACTACACTATTAATATCCGGTCCCACCTGTCATACACACGCTGCGTCTTGGAGTCTGTGCTACAGCTGGCTACAAATTTGTAGCCCGCTGCCCTTCTCTCTTCTCATTTATCTCCTTTAAATATGTTTGCAGCTGGCTTATAATCTGCTATTGTATCTGCTCTAAGAGCAAGTTTAATAGTATAGCCAACTACTAGCTCCAATTCATTTATAGCCAATCTAATAGCTCATTTATACAATAGTTACATACTATACTATTAATATCTGGTCCCACCTGTCATACACACGCTGCGTTTTGGAGTCCTTGCTACAGCTGGCTACAAATCTGTAGCCCGCTGCCCTTCTCTCTTCTTATTTATCTCATTAAAATATGTTTGCAGCTGGCTTATAGCCTGCTATTGTACCTGCTCTAAGTATGTTTGCAGCTGGCTTATAATCTGCTATTGTACCTGCTGTAAGAGAACCGATGAATATTGGATAGATTCCTCGTAGTCGTAGGTCTCGTAGTATCAGCGTAAATCTCCCTATCTCCCTATCAGAGAGATACACGGTGTTATGGAACCTTACGCGTGTGATCTGACGGAGTTCTGGGCCGAATCCATCTCAAAAGTTGGCCTTAATAAAGGAAACTGCATGTTATTAGAACAGACAGTAATAAGCCCTACACCGTTTTGTTCGGTTATCAAGTTCCCCGATCTGTTGCCATGGCGGCTAAGGACCACGACGCAGCTGATACATCTCATGGGGTGGACGAATGCGAGCCGAGTCTATGGTACGAGGTAGCCATGGCGGTGCTGTTCCCGTCCAATTACTTCCTGCTTAGCTTCTGGTTTTTTCTTGGTTTTTGGATAATCTACCAGGCGTTCGGCGCATTCGGCGCTGTTGTTAACATCGACAAGCCGATCGAGAGCTCCATCGAGCTTGTCGGCGTCAGCGGGCTGGTGCCGGTGCTGGCCCTGGCTCCAGGTCCAGGAGTTGCCTCGCGGCCGGCGTTCAATCTACTCGTGCGCATCGACAACGACCACATCCTCGACCGGCACCGAGAGGGCGGCAGCGTCAAGGTCTCCTACGCCGGCGTCCCACTGGCGTACGGGAGCATACCCAGCTTCCGGCTCGGGGCGAGGGAGGCCTTGACGGTGGCGGTGGACGCGACGAGCGAGGCGGCGGGCGTGCCGGAGGATCTGCTTCGGCTCATGGCGGCGGAGCAAAGGATGGGCGTGGCGCAGCTGGAGATCGGCATGCAGCTGGGCGGGCCAGGCCGGGAGTCGTACTCCTGGAGTGTGGATTTTTGATTTCGATGGGCCGCAAGTTGGGGTCGTTCGTTGTTGCTGATGACGATATGTAGGCTGATTAGTGTTTAGATTACAAAAGGCTAATAGTGATGGATCCTTGCCAAAAAAGAAAATGATGGAAAGTCCTGAGTTTGAATTTAGTTCCTTTATGAATAAATTTCCTAGAAATTTTTTTATTTATGGATAGCGTTTCCTCATAGCAAGAACTCTTTTTTTCCCAAAGCATATTTAAGCTCATAGTTAAGGTTATCTGTTATTTAAGCAGAAAGTTATGGGTGTTTATAGATAAAAAAAAAAGGTAATTACTCCGCACACGCACAAGCCAAATAATGGAGAAGGCATCGAGGCGCTTACAAATTTCAAAAATAGTTTCACCAAGTAGATCGAACATATTTCACTAAGTAGATCAGAAATGTTTCAATTTCGTAAAAAGCTGAAACACAACCAAATCACCTCATGAAACATTTTGCTACAACGTATGAAAGAACAGTTTCCAAAAAATAGGACGCCGTTTCACCATATATAAAACAATGTTTCAGCAAATAGCGAAAGAAATTCCCAGCATTTTCTTTACGCCTGGGAGGCGAGGCGGAGGCGCGCGTGGGGAGTGCCTGATTTTTTTTACGCCGCATCGGGCGCCCGATCCCCAGCATTTTCAAAAAAAGCAAGTATAATAAGTGATGTAAACGTGCTTTTAAAATCATCACATCATATGTTTAGATAAATAAGAGGAGAATAGAAGACAAGAGGGAGCTACAATACTGTCTCGAAACATTGTGTATTTATGAGAGTTGGGTAAGATATTAATGATGATATAGTTCATATTCATACGTAACTATTTCATCCATAGATCATGAATGACATCTAATTTTTAAAGATAATAGTTGGCTACATTATTAAACTTGCTGTAAGCGACATGATATATGTGAACAAGCGCCTCCTACCTCGAAATCCTCACACAATTCCAAGTCTAAGGCCCAGTTCCTTTGCTCACGTTGGAGAAGCTTTTCAACCGCGAGAAAGCTCATTAACACATGATTAATTAAGTATTAACTTCATACATTTAAAATTAGTTTTTTTATTTTTAGAGAAACTTTTATATAAAAAGTTTTTGCAAAAAAGCATATCATTTAACAGCTTGAAAAGCGTGCTAACGGTAAATAAGGAAGTTGTAATTGTAGTTGAAGAAAAGGACTAGGCCTATATCAGACATACTCCCTCTGTCCCAAAATATAAGATATTTTGGATGGATGAAATACTTAGTATTTAAGCACTCAGGTGACCTAAATAGTTATGAAAAATAATGAGAAGATAAATTAATATTTAATACATCGCTAGACAAACATGCGAATTCGAATTTGTATTCTACAAATTGTAACAAAAATAACAAATTTAACTGTGAAAATACATATACTAGTTAGAGTTTAATTTTTTATTTTTGCTATAATTTACAGAAGTCAAATTTGTACTTGCATATTTGTGCAGTGATATATTACATATTGATTTATGTTATCGAATTTTTTAAAATTTTTATAACCATTTTTTTGACATGCAAGAAAAGGGGTAGTACATTCACTAAGAGATTAGAACGCATCTCCACGAGAGCAGGGCCGTGGGGCTTGTCAAGCGATGCGCTAAGGACCTAAGGTGATTTCACTACTAATGATGGGGGCATCTGGGGATCGACAGATGTAGCGACGCTACCAGGTGCGGTAGGGATGATGGGTGCCCAAGACGCCTCCACCACTGAGGACGGGAGAGTTGGTTTGTGTCTTGTACGGTGTGAATTTTTTTTATAATTTGTAAGGTGTGACTAGGTGGGAGGGAGATCAATTGATTACTACTCAGTCCGTCCTAAAATAAGCGCAGCACCATAAGTTTTCGTGTCCAACTTTGATCATTCGTCTTATTTGAATTTTTTTTGAGAAAACTAAAAAATATGAGTCACGCATAAAATACTATTAATGTTTTATAATCTAATAACAATAAAAATACTAATTATAAAAAAAATCAAATAAAACGGACGATCAAAGTTGGACACGGGAACTCATGCAATGTTTATTTTGGGACGGAGGGAGTACGTAATATTCTCATATGAAGAGAAATTTTACGGTACACTATACTACCAGTATATACTGCTAGTATAAATAATTCAATGGTGTAGATTCATTCTCCTCCCCACTTAATGAGATTCCAGTATAAAATTCTAAGGGGCAAACCTGTCTTTGTCTTTATGTGTACACAGCCGGTTTTATGAATTTCCATGTTCATCTACCGATCTGGTACTGAACGCAAGACAAGTCCAAGAGTACCAAATCAGTACCTGATTTATTTGCCTCACGTTGTCCGTACTAGCCAACAATTTTGAGTAGAATCTACACTGAACTAACAAGATCGCTCAATGTACACTATGAATCAGCTCGTTGCAGTTTCTTGCCGTGGCCGGTGAGGCTTAGCCGGAAGGCAGGCCGCCGCGAATGCTTGGGGCTTGCGTCCAGCGTATCTTCGGCTTCTCGTTGCTCATCAAACCGTGCAGCCGCGGAGCTGCCACACGCGCCATAACCAAATCACGCTCGCGACGCATGATGAGATCCAAGACCGATTACTCCCCATTAGATCTGACGAATTACTAAAAAAACCCCTTATTCAATTTTTTTAAGTTCCAAATATACACTTTTATATATTGGTAGTATATACTGATAGTATAGTGTACCGTAAAAGTTCTTCATATGAAAGGTAAGATGGTCAATTGGCAATGTCTGGCTAAGTGAATCACGTTCAAAGAAGACGAGATGAGTTCGATTGAATGGAGAGCGAGATATGGGTGTGTTACCAAAGTTAAGTGACGACTTTCGATGCAACAAAATTAAAAAACGAAAACCTTCAATGCTATAAATCAAATTGTTATTACTCCATATCCTTACCAAGGAATAATGTTTTCCATTCTATTTACTTTGGAGATAACATGCTAAAAATATGAATTAATATATATGTTCCTATTTGGAAAAAGGAAAAAAAGTTATGATACCAAACAAGAAAACGTGAACAACGAAGAAACAACTATCCATCAGCCTTCCCTTGACCAAACTGTTATTCATCTCTTCCTCCCAGCGTAAGCTCCTGTGAAATCCCCACCATCCCAGTGCTAGGCGCGAAGGCAGCCATACCGAAATTAGCGTAGTAGTGCAGCTTCATCTCGACGTAGACCTTAGCCGTCCCCTCCTGCAGCTCTGAGACAAAGCGTTCGCGTAGCTCCTGCGACAAGTGGACGTTCTTTCCCCAGGGCACCACCGTCAGCTTGGCCGTCGACCTCTTCTGCACGCAGAATCCCGGGACGCGCCCCCACGCGAGCGCTACGCCGGAGTAGGACACCACCACGTCCCCGCGGTCGAGACACCATGGCCGGAAGGTGCGCGGGTTCTCTACACGCAGCGTGAGGTTGAACGCGGGCGAGATGACCGTACTGCCGCCGGCGCCGGCCGTGGCGGCGGCGGCGACGTCCATCCCCTCGACGGCGGCGAGATCCAAGGTGTACTTGACCTTCTCGGCGGCGTTAGAAAGAAGGGCAGCGGCCGGGATCCCCAGCACTAAAACTATCGTCACCATACCATAGAACAGGATTATGACTTTGGTCTGTAGCACCAACAAGGGGTCCACCTCTTTGCTGCCGTACAGGGCTGTTCTCGCCATGTCCGGCTAATTTCTTCGTCGGAGATCGATTCAGCTTGATGGGAGCGTGGAAGCTATAGAGATCTTGACAGGGATTTTGGCGTGCCTACGCGCAGACTCTGTTTCACGCATGATAAAAGGGCCGAACGCCCGAACCGAAGAGATGTATTCATGCAAGTGCCGGACTTACCAGTTAGAACAGGATTTTGGGTAGGATACGATACGTTCGTACGAGACATACGACAGAAGGGAAGACATATATGTATCTCAAATAGAAACGAGATGGAAGATCATCAGCACAAAAAAAAAAAAACAGATTTTGATCGGCGCTTGGGGTCGTCTTGAACACGAGAGCGAGTCATCAATAATTCAATATCATATCGTCACCGGCCGGTCAGCTATGAAGCCTCAGCCTCCTCCCATCCAAGGAGATGGCGTCGCCAAGAAATCGAGGGCGGCGAAGGCATCCAGGCGTGAGATGCTCAAGGTCTTGTACGTCCTGCTCGCTCTGGCCTCGACACCGTTTTTGTACTACATCTTCTTCGACCTCCCTCCCAAGTTCTCCCTCCAGATCAACAGCGCCGAGGGCCTCGACGCGGTGGCGGCGGCAGCGGCGGCGCAGCCCCTCTCCACCATCGTCAACATGACCCTGCACGCCAGCAACCGGCGCGCGCCGGGCCGATGCTACCGCCACGGCGAGGCGGTGGTGCGTTACGCCGGCTTCACCGTCGCGGCGGGCCGGACGCGCGTCTTCTGCGTCGGCGCCAGGGACGCGCTCGACGTGCCGGTCGTGGCGTGGGCGGACGGCGTGACGCTGCCCAATGAGGTACACGATCGCATGGCGGCGGAGCAGCGCGCCTGCTCCGTGGAGCTCGAGGTCGACGTGAAGTTGTTCGACCGCGAGAGCGAGATGCCGACGTGGATGTGGTGCAAGGTGACGACGCAGGAAGCGGAGCCGTCAGACGTGACACCGTGCAGAGTGTTCGCTACCCAGAATTGGGCATCAGACATTGCACCTCGTTGGATGCAGTAACTTTATATGGTTTCTATGTGGCCATGCCAATGCCATGGCAAATAGTTATCTTTCTCGATCAGATTTTCATTTTACTAGTTTTGGTTCTCGATAGACGTGGTAATGAGATTTCTATGGTTGTGTTATGCCCCTTGACAATATCATTGCAATGCTCCAATTACAGAATTGTCTAGATGTGAACCATCGTTTTTCTTTTCAATTTTGTTAATTACCTATCCATCGTTTTTAGGTGGTGTAGATTGCTTTAAGGCAATTTTATCATTCTTAAAAAAATACTTAGAGATCTTGCTTCAATATTTATGCAACACCTTTGCTATCGTAAGTCCTACCCCACCTGTTGGCCACACCTCCCCAAATGGTCGTTTCCTCTCTCCTTTTCTGTCACTGTTGTTCCTCAAAATGTTCCTATGCTATGTCTTTAAGAGACTGGATTTTAAACTCTTGAGAAGATATCCCCTCATTATTTGCATATCACTCAAATAGTTATAATTTTCTTTAATATATCACTCCACAAATATATGAATTAAAATTTAACTTTCACAAATTGCAATAAAAAACAAATTAAACTACAACTAACACATATTCATAGTCAAATTTATTTTTCTGTTGTAACATGTAAAAGTTAAATTTGGCATTGCATGTATGTTTGTACAATGATCTATCATATCATATATTGATCTATCTTATTAAAAAAAATTATTAATATTTAAGTGATATGCAAATAATAATTGGACGTCCTCAGGAGAGTGTAGAATAATTTTCCACGTCTATACCATCTCTCACCGCCTAGGACAATGATATAGTCCTAAGATAAGACCTAACTTTCTGTTGAGAGAGAATAAGGTGTATCTTTGATTCTTCTATAGGAAAACATGTATTATTAATTTATTAGTTAAAAACTAGCTAACATTTATACGCAATTTTCAGCAGAGTTAAATATAGAATTTGAACTGGATTTTGTATACCATACATTTTAGGACATGTGCAAAATAGAATCTAATATTAGCTCTTAATTAATACATACTCATTTAGAGACTATCCTTAGCTTCTACAAAAGTTAACACAGCAAAATCTCTTAACCATTAGTACACCAAATAATTTTTTATTACTCTCATTTTCTCAATCCACGTGCAACAAAAATTTCTTTAATAAATGCTATAAGAGTCGACTTTAAACCGTTGTCATCTCTCTCTTTCATGTTTCCAAAGTTACTTGCATAGAAAACGGAGAGAGCCGTTAATAAGCACCATTGTACATACCCTAAGTAGAATTGGATTTGACGTATACAACTATTGGTTTATGTCTTAATTTAGGGTTGTATACAACTGTATGTCTTTATTTATCGTTCATATCGCTACAATTTAGACCACTATAATATAATGGTCAAAATTTCTCTCGATTAATGTAAGAGTTTCTAGCTTCTAGAACAGATGTGATGGAGCTATCTAGCTATATAATACAATAATAGACAGTTACATTTATTATTTTAAATAAAAATTAGTACATATTATTATAACATATTTTCACAACGATCTAGTAATGTCAATAGTATTGGATACACCATTAAAAAGGTAATTGGATCTGCCAATTAGCACTCAAAGCAGTGTAAAGAGAACACAAAACTCACTATAAATACACCAAGACTATAAACGTGAGCACAAAGCTGTCACCAAGTAGTATGTGAATCCTCCACGACTATAAGCGCGAGCTAGTATCTTGAAAGGAAGATATGCATCCCAAATGGAAACGAGATGCATTTCAAATTTACAGTAAGCATCCCTATGGTTGCATTGACAACAAGAGTGAGACCCACCATAAGGAGCAATAGCTATGGCAATGCCTACAATGGTTAAGTCTTTGGTAGAATATAAGATGGGTCCCATTGAATCCCACCGAAGAAAAAAAAATCAATTCCTAACCATCCCATACAAGGCAGAAAGCTAGAGAAATGAATACAACAGTGAAAAAAAATAATTTTATATTTTCATGTGATCACACTTAAGCTTAAGACTCTTTTGGATTGCATGGATCTTAATGTGTGCCCCTACAATAGCTAAAGTTATAACATTTAATGTTTAAGGCTTACATTTTACTAAATTGTGGTTACCCTAACATATTAATCCCCCCAACCCAGGGATATATAGGCACATGGGCTAGGGGGGTCAATCGTCGTGACGTCGTTTACACGTAGGACGGGAGAAGACTCGGCCCGGTACGCATGGGAAAACCTCGGCCGAATACCACGGCAACTCTCATCCAGTCTCGTGGCACAGCGGGCACAAAAACCGCGGGCATATATTACGCGCACACAAGGATCCACCAAAGGAAAACGCCATCACGTACGTATTCACGATACGTACGGTTTGAAACCATGGAGCTCCACCCTCCTTCATCCTGCGACGACGACGCCGGCAGCTGCCAAAAGACGTCCGTGGCGTGCAACCGCCAGCGCCACAAGATCCTCATCGTGAACCTGCTATATGAACTCATGTTTTTCGCTTTCATGTTCCTATGCTTGTATCACGCGTTGTACGACTTCCCGTCCGAGTTCTCCGTCCAGATCACGGCCATCCACGGCCTCGACCGGGGATTGGTTTGGCACAGGGGGCCGTCGTTTACACGTAAGCTACGGGTGAAGCATGCAAGGCCTGGCAGTCCGGTACGCATGGGAAACCTCGGCCGAATACCACGGTAACTGATCTCATCCGCTACGAGTAGTCTCGTGGCGCGGCGGGCACAAAATCCGCGGGCTTATTAGGCACACAAGGCACACAATCCACCAGAGAAAAAGGCCTTTCGTCACGTACGATTTGAAACAATGGAGCCCCACCCTCCTTCCTCCTGCGACGACAACGCCGGCGCCTGCCAAAAGGCGTCAGAGACGTGCAACCGCCAGCGCCGCAAGATCTTCGTCGTCAACCTGCTATATGAATTCACCAATTTCATTTTCATATTCCTATGCTTGTATCACGCGTTGTACGACTTCCCATCCGAGTTCTCCGTCCAGATTACGGCCATCCGCGGCCTGGACGACGCGGCGCCGGCGTCTCCGACGATCATCTCCCCTGCTATCGACGTCACACTTCACGTCAACAACCGGCGCGGCACGGCGAGATGCTACCGCGGCGGCGAGGCGGTGGTGAGCTACGAGGGCTTCACCGTCGCGTCCGGCACCGTGCCGGGCTTCTGCGCGCAGGGGAAGAGGGCACCGGAGGTGCCGTTCCTGGCGTCGGCCGACGGCGTGGGTCTGCCTCAGCGGCTTTGCGGACGCATGGCCCTGGAGCGGCGTATCGGCGCCATGCAGCTGGAGGTCGAGGTGAAGCTGTTCGGGCGCGACGGCGGCACGGCGCCCAGGCCGACGTGGATGTCGTGCGGGCTGAGGATGGATGAAGCGCAACTGCCGAACACGGCGCATTGCTCGGTGTTGGCTTTGCAGAATTGGTTCTCTCAACCCTTGTTCGGATAATAGAACATTCAGATCAATCTTTTACGGGTTAAGGGATCGCCAAAGGGATTAATTTTCGTCTGGTTTATGAGAATACCGCAGGTGTTCCAATTAGTTAGCTAGTTACATGATTTCAAGTTTTCAACAGCACTCTTTCTTGTATCAGACATTAATGGCATTGATAATTTTACTCCAGCTTGGTCGGAATATTTAGTAATGCAGCTTCAAAAAGATTTGGTCGTGCACGCTACTTTCTTTGTTATGCATTAATTAAACCACAATTAATTAATCTGTAAAGAAGACACACATGAAATTAACATATGTAAAAAGGGATTGAAAATATTTTTGGAAAACGTCCGAGATCGGGCGCCCTACACGCACCAACAAAATCGGGAATCGAGCGCGCCCGCCGCCCACGTGCCGCCACCACGCGCGCCCGCGCCTCCACGCGTCTCCACCACAGCGCACCCCGTTGCAACAGTTGCCCGGATATAAAGGAAACACCCTATTAAGAGGGATTTGTTTCATTTTTTTTCCACTAACAGTGTTTCAGCTATTGTACTCGTGATGTTTTACTATGCATGGATCAAATGTTGTAGTGGATGTTGATATTGTTTTAATAATTTCAACTTGATGGACACGTGGGTTGTTATGTACACAGGGTTTAAGTGTTGTAATAGGTTCAAGTCGTTTGTTGCATACGTTGAATCAAATTGTTTCATCTAACGATCTGACCGTGTTTCACTTTTTTTAAGAATTGAAATATTTTTACGTTATTTGCTGAAACATTGTTTTTTGGACACGTGTGTTGTTATGTACATAGGGTTTAAGTGTTGCAATAGGTTCAAGTCGTTTGTTGCATACGTTGAATCAAATTGTTTCATCTAACGATCTGACCGTGTTTCACTTTTTTTAAGAATTGAAATATTTTTACGCTATTTGCTAAAACATTGTTTTTTATAGGCTGAAACAACGTCTGATTTTTTGGAAACCGTTGTTTCATACGTTGTAGCAAAATGTTTCATGAGGTGATTTGGTTGTGTTTCAGCTTTTCAAAAGACTAAAACATTTCCGATCTATTTATAGAAACATACTCGATCTGCTTGGTAAAACAACGTCCGATTTTTGAAAAAAAAATCAGGCGTCCAATTTATAGGCGCCTCGAATATTTTTTAAGTCATCCCACCTCAACACGATCTCCCCACGCCTCTATTTTCTCGTCCTTTTTTTTGGTAAATTTTGTTGTATTCATGTATTGGACGGACCAATTGCCCATCGGTTCTCCAACGATATGATATTATAGAGCCCTGTACATGACCGGGTGGGTAGGTCTGGAGTTTGGACTCTTGAGCCCGTCGCAAGTCGCAACATGTTTACAACTGGCTTAAATTTCACGCCGGCCAGACGATACCAACCATAACTTTTTGGCAAATTTTGCTACAGGACATCGTGACTTTGCGGTTTTATCTGTAGGACACCGCGCGAAGTGACTTTTGGGGGAAGACACTCCCAAAAGTTGGATATTTGCTGGTGGACACCGCAGCCATTAAAATAATAATTTCCGATTAAAGAGGAGAGAGAAATCGCATGAAATGTCACAAATGCCCTTGGGCCCATATGTCAGCTCTCTCCTCTCTCCCTCTCTTTATCCCTTCTTCCACACTGCCATGGCCGGCGCCACCTCCGGCGGGCGCACAGCACGCGCCCCAGTTCCTGAACATAGCCATGCCTTGCAGCTGTTTGCCATCGCGGAGCCGACCTCCGTCGCGTCGTCCGTCCGGTCCAGCACCAGTGGGCTCCTTCTCCTCACCAGCTCGAGCCTGTCGTCCACAAACGCACCGTCCGAGGTAGGCACGTCGGCGGAGCTCCAGCCAAGGCATGCGAGGAACATTGGCACCGCTGCGCTTCATCTCACGCGCCCGCGATTGCAGGAAGCGGGTGAGGTCGTCGATCTGAAACTAGCGCTTGTACATGGCGGCGGTGGCCTTCTTGGCAGGGTGGACGAACACCTTGTAGATCTGTGTGCCCACAGTGAGGAAGGCGGCGTCGGAGTGCGGGTCCACCGCAATGCCGCTGGGCGGTGTTGTGGGGTAGGGGAGCGGGGCGGAGAAGACCGCCGGCCATGGCAGTGTGGGAGGATGGACGGCCATGGGAGCTCTGCCTCAACCACCACCGCCGCTCAACCTCTAATCCACCGCCTCCAGTGCGTAATCGACCAAGCCGCCACCACCACCAAGTCCCACGCCCCTCCGCGACCCCATTTCACCCCTCACCGGCGCCCAACAACCACCACCGCTATTTTCCCCAAATTGGACCGCCCGCTATCCAATCCTCTTCGCTTCTACCTTCCTCGAACTCGCCAAATTAAAACACCCAGATCGGCTGCTCGCCATCCAATCCTCTTCGCTTGCACCATCGCCATTTCGCTCGACGGGACCGGCCTCTGCACGTGTCCCCTGTCGCTTCTCACAGCGCTGTGCTGCCACACCGAGGGGATAGAGGAAGAAGAGAGAGGAGAGAGCTGACATGTGGGTCCATGGGCATTTGTGACATTTCATGCGATTTCTCTCTCCTCTCTAACCGAAAATTATTATTTTAATGGCTGCGGTGTCCACCAGCAAATATCCAACTTTTGGGAGTGTCTTCCTCCAAAAGTCACTTCGCGCGGTGTCCTATAGCTAAAACCGCAAAGTCATGATGTCCTGTAGCAAAATTTGCCTAACTTTTTCGTTAGGCTCTAAAGCAAGTTTCACCGTTTGACCTCCGACCTATCCGCCATGGCGCCGGCTAAGGATCACGAAGAAACTGATGATTCTTACGGTGTCGTCGACGTATGTAAACCGACTCTAGGCTACAAGCTAGCCATGGCGCTTCTGCTTCCCTTCATCTACATGCTGTTTTTCTTCTCTGTTTTTCTTGTCATGCGGATAACCTACAAGGCCAGCCAAGCAATCGACACCGCTGTTATCTTCAACAAGCCAATCAGTAGCTCGGTCGAGCTCGTCGGCGTCAGGGGGCTGGATCCATCTCTGGCCCCAGGAGCGGCGGCATCGCCGGCTTTCGATCTACTCCTGCGTCTCGACAACGGGGACGCCTGCGGCGACCAGTACCGAGAGGGCGGCAGCGTCAAGGTCTCCTACGCCGGCGTCCCCCTGGCGCACGGGAGCACCCCTGGCTTCCGCTTGGGGGCGAGGAGTTCCGCGACGGTGGCGGTGAACGCGACGAGCGATGGGGTGGGTGTGCCGGAGGAGCTGTTCCGGCTCATGTCGGCGGAGCAAAGGCTAGGCGTGGCTCAGCTGGATATTGGTTTGCAGCTGGGCTGGCCCGGTTGGGAGTCCTACTACTGGAGCGTCGATTTGGATGGTTGAATATGGGCCAAACCCTCAAAGTTTAGCCCAAGGACCAACATCATAGTTTACTAATAATAGCAAAGCAGTATCCCTTATGGATTTTTTTAGTTTATTATATTTATTATGTAAATTAAATTATTGTGCCATTGTCCACTGACCAAAATGGATGCCGTTTATGTTACCTTATACGTGGAAAATCATCATTATGATCATTATATTCTATTGAGATCAATTTTTGATGAATTGAACAGTTATCGATGAATGCACCACAGTTATTCCTCGTTCCTTATGAAATTATACGCTTTGGCATCGAGAAAATACCATCACCTGACCGCTAACAACAATTTGACATTTTAATATTTTTTTATAAAGAAAATTTTATTATATTCCATTATTAAAAAAAAGAGATTTCTATTATACCTAGTTTCGCCATATTGGTAATTTCTCATAATTTCTCCACTCAGCTTGGCTGCCTATCCCTCCATCAGCAACAGATTCCTCCACTCCTCTCTAACGGGATCCTCTGCTGATGAGACTCGTCGTCCCCCCTTCCCTCAGCGTTGAACACACGATTATTTTCATTGGCAACCACCAGCCAAAAGAGAGGGACAGAGAGAGCGTGCACATAAATTGTATAGAAAACCGAGAATTTTTACAATTCTTGAGGAGGTATCACCAAGTACCACTGTTGTCATGTACCAAATAAAATCCAATTGTTTAATTAATAGGGGCACGATGGGGAATAACTTGAAGCAATTGTGGAGACTGGAGAGGTCCTTCCCTTCCCATGACACGCGATGGGAATCACATCCTCTGTCCATTCATCGCATTTGTCCGGCATGACTCATGAGGTGGGCCTAGAGGAAAATGAAGGTCATCGGTTAGCTCAGATCCAACTTACAAGCTTGGGAGGAAGGCTGCGCAAGAGGTGAAATTTTCTAGCATTGGCGAGCTAGAATCCGGGCGACGAACCTAGGAGCTTATGGGAGACAAAGGTCGAACAGCTCAAATCCGCTCGACGAGCTTGGGTGGAAGGGCGGGTAGGCCATGGGAGGTGGTGGCTACCGCCGAGCTAGGAAGGAGGGCAGCTACGAAAGTGGAGGTTGCCGACGAGCTTAGTGGTGGTGGCATATGTGAGGAGGGGTGCTGCATTGCCCTTGTGGTGGATGAGAACAGGAGCGGGCTTGCTGACTCAACACAACACAAACAGAGGGCGGTGCAATAAATTTTTTATGCATTTGTTTTTAGTCAAAAATATTGCTATATTTTTTATACATTTGATCAATAAAATTTGACTAAAAAATAAAATTACTTATAATACGAAATGTTATTATATTAATTAGAAGAAGCAAAATTATGCTGAGTTCACAAAAGAAAACGCAACAAAGAAAAAGAATAACTCGTCAGGATTCATCTTGAATAAACTATATTATTCATCTTGTCTTCCCGGGAGACCAGCCTTCGTCTTGAGCAAACTGCTATTCATGTTGTCCTCCCAGGAGTCCAGGAGAAGCTCCTGTGAAATCGACGTCGTCCCAGAGCTGGGCGCGAAGGCAGCCATGCCGAAATTAGCGTAGTAGTGCAGCTTCATCTCGACGGAAACCTTCGCTGTGCCCTGCTGCAACTCTGAGACAAGAAGGTCGCGTAGATCCTCCGACAACCGGACGTCCTTGCCCCAGGGCACCACCGTGAGCTCGGCCATCGCCCTCCTCCTCACGCAGAAGCCCGGGACGCGCCCCCACGCGAGTGCCACGCCGGAGTAGGACACCACCACGTCCCCGCGGTCGAGACACCATGGCCGGAAGGCGCGCGGGTTCTCGGCGCGCAGCTTGAGGTTGAACGCGGGGGAGACAACCGTGCTGACGGCGGCGACGTCCATCCCCTCGACGGCGGCGAGATCCATGGTGTACTTGGCCTTCTCGCATTCTTTGGAAAGAAGGGCGCCGACGAAGATCCCTAGCAGAAAAACTGGTAACAGTGTCGTCCAGAACAGGAAGCTGACTTTGTTCATTAACCTCAACAAAGGGTCCTCCTCGCTGTCCATGGCTGGCTGATTTTCTTCGTCCGAAATTCAGTTTGATGGTCGATCAAGAGCTAGGGAAGGTGGAAGCTATTGAGATCTTGACAGGAGATATAGCAAAATCCATGCAAAGTGCCGAACATATCGGTTAGAACAGGATTTCTGATACGATACGATTGCACGAGACGTATGACAGACAAGAAGGCATGCATCCCAGAAAAACAAATCTACTGTAATACATTCATCCCAACCGGGGATTGGTTTGGCACAGGGGGTCGTCGTTTACACGTAAGCTACGGGAGAAGCAAGGCCTGGTAGTCCGGTACGCATGGGAAACCTCGGCCGAATACCACGGTAACTGATCTCATCCGCTACGAGTAGTCTCGTGGCGCGGCGGGCACAAAATCCGCGGGCTTATTAGGCACACAAGGCACACAATCCACCAGAGAAAAAGGCCCGAACGGCCCTAATCGAACTCGCGGCGGCAAGTCCAAACTCCACACGAGCGCGGCGAGCGCGAACCCGCATCCCGTTCGGCCACGTCTCCCAGCTCCCGCGAGATCTGGGCCGTCCGCTCTGTCACTTCCCCCACCCTTTATCACCACCTTCCGCGGCTTACGCCGCCCACGCCTCGCTCGCCTAATCCGAAGCCTCGCTCGAAAACTCGCCGCCTCACGCCGGAGAGCATCATCAGTTCATCACCGCCATCTCCCATCGCAGAAGCCATGAGCAATCCCGGTGAGCATACCTCTCCCCTGCTTCGCATTTTGTTGCGTTGTTGCTGTTTTTTTTTTCGGGTGATTCCGTGATTGGGTTTACGGCTAACTGTTTGCGGCGGCGGGTTTCTGATGCAGAGCTCTTGTCAGAGGAAAAGGCCATCCTCGTGGAGACGCTGAAGGTATAACCTCTTCCTCTCTCGTTGTGATGATCGCTTTTTTTTCGGTGTGCTTTGTTGGGTTTCAATCGGAGCGATCGTGCAATGGTGGTTTTTGTTGATTCGGTGATGTGCGTGTGTCATCTGTGCAGAACAAGCTGCAGGCGTTGGCGGAGCAACATGTTGACGTGCTCGAAAGCCTGGCGCCCGTGGTCAGGAAGCGCGTCGATGTGCTCATAGAGATTCAGGTAAAAACAGAACTGCTAAGACTAGAGAGAGCTTCGAGGTGGTGATGTTCGCGGCATATTTTCGTTCATCGTACTGTTTATTATGCAAACCCATTGTGACGTACATAATGACAATATCCTCAATGAAACGTGAGATTGACTAGAGTTTTTGGGTGGTTAATTCCCTCTGTTGCAGAAGCTTGCTTATGCATATTTTAGTACTGTTAAGTTCACAGGTATAAAACGGTTGGATTAGATGCTTTATCCTTAATTATCCTTAGTTGCTTCTATTATCTAAGAAAGTACAAATTATGCTCGTATGCTAGCGATGTCCATTGATTTCGTAAAGAGAATTTTCTTTTTACCTTAGCCTTTTACTGTTATGTAGTTGATTGTGTTATATTTGCTACAAACTTTATTCCACACACCTAAAAGTTTCTAAAACATGTTTAATATTTCAGAGCCAACATGATGAACTAGAAGCGAAGTTCTTGGAGGAAAAAGCTGCTCTAGAAGCTAATTATCAGAAGCTTTATGGACCATTGTACTCAAAGGTATAACACATACTTTTTTGTTGCAATGTAACGCAATCTAGCCTTACCCCACTTATCTTTCTTTTCAAAAAGAGTTGTCTGTTTTGTGTATAGGCAGCTCTTCTTTAAGAAACATATCTTGAATTATGTTTCTGAGTTTTAAATATGATGTGTTGTTCTGGTGACCTTTTTTGTGCTTACAAATTTCCAGCGTTCTGAAATTGTGAGTGGTGTTCTTGAAGTAGAGGGCGAGACTGAAGAAAGAGGTGATATATCATTCTTATTCATACTATAGGTGTTCTGGGCACGTCTGGGGTTATTGATAGATTGGGTACCCTTTTAGTTTTTTTCTATAATCTCACGATGGTTCCATGCAGAGGAAAAGGGTGTTCCAGATTTCTGGCTCAAAGCAATGAAGAACAATGAGATTCTTGCTGAGGAGGTGAGAGGCTTTTCTAGTTTGTAAATTCCCACTTTCTAATTTATCAATGTTTATGTTCTCATGCTCTCATTAGAACTTGAGCTTATTTATTTGTTCAGTGTGCTGATTTGCTTAGTGCCATTTTTTTTAGATAATGAAGTGCCAATGATTCTTGTAATGAATATTTTTTTCCTTTTCCATTGCCAGATCCATGAGAGCGATGAGGAAGCTCTGAAGTACCTTAAGGACATCAAATGGTGCAGAATTGATGATCCAAAGGGTTTTAAGTTCGAATTCTTTTTCGATACAAATCCCTTCTTTAAAAATCAAGTGCTGACTAAAACATACCACATGATTGATGAAGATGATGAACCCATCCTAGAGAAAGCAATTGGGTATATATCATTTTATTTCTGCAAATTTGTGTTTTTATTATGATGAAAAAAAATCTCTCGTGCATTTCCTATTTGAAATATTCCCTGACCGCTTTTTTTCTTAGGACTGAAATCGAATGGCATCCAGGAAATTGTTTGACACAGGAGGTGCTAACAAAAGAGAGTTCAGAGAGCACTAAACCTATAACAAAGACTGAAGAATATGAGAGCTTCTTTAACTTCTTCAGCCCCCCTCAAGTTCCAGAGGATGATGCAAAAATTGACGAAAATACCGTAAGTTGAACAAGTAATTATTCTACATACATTGATTCCTGAAACATTATGCCCAAACTTATGGCCTTTTTCGCTGCTGCTGCTTAACAGGCTGAAGAATTGCAGAACCAAATGGAACGAGATTATGACATTGCGTAAGCTATTATGCTCCATTGCATTCTTAACCGATTAGAATTGTTTTTTTTCTAAAGGAGAAGTGATTACTATTGTGTTATTATGCATGATACGTTATACTGAAAGACACAATTCTTCAAATTATTTATGAAACAACATACTTCCTGTATATATTATCTCGTTATAAATTAGCTTGCCCATGTTGCCAGATCTACTCTCAGGGACAAGATTATACCACATGTTGTTTCTTGGTTCACTGGAGAGGCTGTTCAAGACGAGGATTATGGTGCTTCTTGGGTGGATGATGAAGAGGATGATGACGATGAATATAGTGATGAAGAAGCATAGGGCATTCAAGTGTCGTTTGTTCTACTGGGGTATTAGAACGTTAGATGCTTTTATATCCATTGTTATCCCTCTATTTTGAACGGAAGGCTGGCAGAGTTGCTAGATTGCAGGGTGAGCGACCTGGGAGTGCAAGCAGCAATACTTTTTTTTTATCTTAGTTCTCAGAAGTCAGAAGTGGACTGAAGGATATGCAACTACTAAGTTGATTTCTATTAAGTTATTAGTGGTGGATTCACTTTTCTACGTGTTTTTTTTATTTTCTCCTATTGTTGCCATATATTATGCTCGGCTGGTCAAAACTATAGTGCCATCATTATTGTCACTATGTACAATCTTTGCTAGGCGGATGTAGCTTCCAAATATATATGGGACGTAGAATGGAGATGTTCACTCGATAAGAGCAATTAAACACAACACATATCCGTATTTATAGTTCAATCGCATAATTGCCTCGATCATTGTTTGTGGCATGCATGCGTTGTGAAGAGATAAACTAATATGTTGGACGTTCACACCTTGTATACCTAATTTTGATGACCCAAGACTTACTATAAGGGGGGTAGGGGGTCTTTGGGGGAGGGGGGTAAGACGACACGTGTCGTAGCTGGGTTAGTCGACCCACCCTGCCTATGGCATATGGGTAGATCCGCCCTGGCTTGCACCCCACCTCGTTTGCCCCTATATAGAATCAGCCAATGTCAAAATTTGAATTTTAAAACTTAAATTTGAAGTTGATTGTAAAATTTTTTCATCGAAATTTATTTTTTTAACATTGACTTTTAACTCGCTAAGGACACATATAAAAGTTTTACTCATATTTTTTATCTAATATGTCATATGGCATATTATCAGCCTATGGCCAAACGATGGGGCCCCTTAATAATAAGTTCTCGGTCCTCGAAAAAAATTGTCAGTTGTTCTCGTGCATTTGTACCTTATTGTCATTTATTTCTGTTGTAACTAAAATTGATTTTCACGTAATCAATCACAATATTTAAGACAACGGTACTCCGTACTCCTGGCATTAGTTTGACCAGGTGCTTGCTCAAAATTCATACGAAGAGAGTACTTATTTTTCTTTGGGTAAAATCTATCCAATGCGCATGTACAGTTTGGTCTTCAACAAACAACCCTTCCGTAGCCATCCAATCATTTAATGATGGCTGAGATACGGCCACGTGGATACGGCTACGAAGAGACCGAGAAAAATATTCAGGATATCTAACACACAGGCACATGTAAAAGTTGGATTATTCATATAAAAATTCTAAGATACACCACTGCACATGTCATGCATGCTACATTTTTTTCTTGTTTATTTTTGTACGAGTGTTGAAGATATTCGGCACGATCGGTGTTACACATTTGTCTTTCGTATAAATTATGGTTTAATTAACACATAACAGAAAAATAGCGTGCACAACCAAATCTTTGTTGAAGCTGCCTTACTAATTATTCCGATCGACCAAGCTGAAGTAATTATTAATGCAATTACTGTCTGATACAAGAAATACGCTAACCAATTGGAACACCTGCATGCGGTACCATTCTCATGAACCAGAGGAAATCCCTTTGGCGATCCCTTTATAGATCGGCAGAGATTTTTGAGTTTAATTTCCCTTTGACCACTGTAAAAGATTGATCCTAATCTTCTGTTATCCGAACAAGGGTTGAGAGAACCAATTCTGCAAAGCCAACACCGTGCAATGTGCCGTGTTCGGCAGCTGCGCTTCATCCATCCTCAGCCCGCACGACATCCACGTCGGCCTGGGCGCCGTGCCGCCGTCGTCGCGCCCGAACAGCTTCACCTCGACCTCCAGCTGCATGGCGCCGATACGCCTCTCCACCGCCATGCGGTCGCGAAGCCGCTGAGGTAGACCCACGCCGTCGGCCGACGCCAGGAACGGCACCTCCCGTGCCCTCTTCCCCGGCACGCAGAAGCCCGGCACGGTGCCGGACGCGACGGTGAAGCCCTCGTAGCTCACCACCGCCGCGGTAGCATCTCGCCGTGCCCCGCCGGTTGTTGACGTGAAGTGTGACGTCGATGGCAGGGGAGATGATCGTCGGAGCCGCCGGCGCCGCGTCGTCGAGGCCGCGGGTGGCCGTGATCTGGACGGAAAACTCGGATGGGAAGTCGTAGAATACGTGATACTCCCTTCGTCTCAAAATAAGTGCAGCCATGATTTTTCGCGTCCAACTTTGATCATTCGTCTTATTTTAATTTACATAAGTCACGAGTAAAGTATTGTTCATGTTTTATCATCTTATAACAACAAAAATGTTAATTATAAAAAAATTTCAAATAAGACGGACGATTAAAGTTGAGCGCGGAAACTCATGGCTGCACTTATTTTGGGATGGAGGTAGTACGAATACGAAAATGTAATTGGTGAATTCATAAAGCAGGTTAACGACAAAGATCTTGCGGCGCTGGGGGTTGCACGTCGCTGACGCCTTTTGGCAGCCGCCGGCGTGACGAAAGATTGCTAAGGGGCGATCGATTGCCCCTAGCGATCGCCCCCCTCTCCTCTCCTCCACGCGATTTTCTTTCTTGGCACCGTATTACTTTTCTATTTTAGTAAATTTATACACCCAAAGTTTATAAATCAAAAGTTTATATATCCGATTCAAATTTAAATTTGAATTCAAATATTTTATATATGTAGTATTTTATACATCTAAAGTTTATACACCTAAAGTTTATAGACCTAAAGTTTATAAGCCAAAAGTTTATATACCCGATTCAAATTTGAATTTGAATTCAAATATTTTTTTATATATAGTATTTCTATGCATATAAAGTTTATACACCTAAAGTTCATAGACCCAAAGTTTATAAGTCAAAAGTTTACATACCCGATTCAAATTTGAATTTGAATTCAAATATTAGTTTATAGACCCAAAGTTTATAAGTCAAAAGTTTACATACCAGTTTCAAATTTAAATTTAAATTCAAATATTTTTTATATATAGTATTTCAATACATAATTTTTTTTAACTTTGTTTTTTTATTTTTTTTAAAATTTATGGTGTAGTAGGAAGAGAAGAAGGGGAGGAGCTAGGAAGGGAGAAGAGAGTGTATAGGGGGATGGGGAGCGATGAATCGCCCATTAGCCACACACACATATACATACATACATACATACATACATATATATATACATATATATATATATATATATACATATATATATATATATATACATATATATATATATATATATATAGTTGTTGCGACTCGCGAGTGTTCGCTCGTCGCGAGCGCGGTCCGATATATATAGCTGTCGCTCGCTCGGCTGCACATGCATGTGCATGTAATTAGCACCGCGTATTTCGGCACCTGGGCAGAGGGAGCACAACTTTCCGAAGCCAACCGTAACAAATCGATATAGAAAAAGCGGACGAGTCTACGGCTCGGGTGCCCGATCGATTTGGAGAAAAATCGGGCGCTGACGTCAGTATGACGTCAGTGTCCGATTTACGTGCAAAACTACTTTAAACTGATTTTTCTCTTAAATTACTTATCTAAATCATGATCCGATTGTACCATTAAATTCGTTGCAATTAAATCTTCAAAACAAGACCACACATGCATATATTCCGATGAAAAAAAAAATTATCTTATTATTGAATTATTTTTAAATGTTGCACGATGTTCCACCAAGTATATCGGAATTGCTTCACTATGTAGATCGAAAATGTTTCACTCGTTTAAATCGGGTGTTGTTTCACCTTATATAAAAACAATGTTTCAGCAAATAGCGAAAGAATGCTTCAGTTCACTACAACATTTGATCCATACATAGTGAAACATTATAAGTACACTAGGTGAAACATTTTTCGGTGGAAAAAAAATAAAACGAATTCCCTTAATAGAGGGTTTCCAAAATATGTGGGTTTTTTGTTGCAATGGAATATTTCAGTTCACTGCAACATTATATCTATACATAATAAAATATTGTGAGTACACTAGTTGAAACATTTTTAGTGGAACAAAAAATAAACCAAGGGTTCCAAAATATATGGTTGATTTGTTGTAGGTGGGGGCAGGCACTGTTGTGAGGCCCAGTGGTGCACGGGGGGGCAGGGGTGGGGGGAGCGCCCGATTTTTGCTCCCCCGCCTGGTCGACCGGATGGTATCATCATCGAGAAAAATCTCTTGCATGCATGCATGCATGATTACAGTTTGTGACGTTTTTGCATGATTAATTTGAGGATGTAAAATTGGTTATCCCGCATGATTCCACACGAGTATTAGCTTTGCCTCCATTATATTACTAAATATCACTAGTAAATATTACGAAAAAAATTATTATATTGAAAAAACTATATAGAAAATCCAATTTTCTAGTATTTGATATTGAAGCTTTAATTATTCTCACAAAACATCTTCTTAGATTGTTAGACACCTGTTCTTTCAAATACAAGTATACTAAAGATTTAAAACTTTGTACTTTGGATTATGTATGAATAAAAAGTTATCATTAGAAACTTTTGACGTAAACGAAAAAATTCCATTCATAAACTTTATACATAAAAAATATTTCTATTCAAAAATTTTAGGCATGCATAAATAAAAAAACATTCAGTAAGTTTATACATAAAATATTTCCATTCATAAAGGTTATGCATAAATAAAAAATTCCATTTATAAACTTTATATATAAAATGTTTTCATTCATAAACTTTATGCATAATCTAAAAAATTCCATTCATAAACTTTGTAAACAAATAAAAAATCATATTTTGAAACTTTTATAATAGTAATAAAAATATTTGCTCACCATATTTGCACATCCAGTGATCCAAAATTTGCAAGATTTGAGGTTAGATTTTCCGTCGACAGAACTTTAGCAATTTCGTAAAAAAAAAAAAAAAAAAAAAAAAAAAAAAAAAAAAAAAAAAACCTAATAAGAACAAGGAGAGTGCACCAATTGCAAGATGCAACCAACTAGATCTACGATCACCAAAAACATTGGACATCATAACATGTAGCACTTCGTAGCGTAGGTAACAGGTGTTTTCTTTCAAGAAGTGATTTATTCCATGATAATCATGAGAATGAATCATTTCAGTAAGTTCTTGGTTCGTTCCATAATTCATCACAGGATTCAGTGCCAATGTTCTTTAAAAGAGTCAGCACACTAGATCCTTCATGCAGTATACAGCAAATACAAACCATCCAATCAAGAGAGAAGAGAAGGCTGCCATCCCTATTAGGAAAGGCCAGCCAGCCATTAAAATGCCAACGCATGTCACAGTTAGAAAAGGAAAGAATGAACGAACAACAGACATTTTATCCACCCATTGGCCACGCAACCAAACAAGAGCAGCCACATTCAACACATTCCACTTCACGGAGCCATTGTAGGCAAGCCGATTCAAGCAGTTTGCCACAAATGAGTAGCAATTGCAGGTAAACAGATTATAGAACTTGTGCCCGAAACTTCTCATGCCCAGTTGCAGAGCGTCGTCCCAGGAAATCGCCGTTCCTGCTTCTGCATGCTTGTAGGACCGCTCACATACATGTGTCGCGAGATTAACAGGAAAGCAACACTAGTCAAGAGAAAAAAAGAACATACAGAGTGTCAAGAAAACTAACCTATTTGAAATGACACTACTATTTTTTTTAATGAAATGACAATTGACAAGAAGTTTATCTATGGATTAAGATGATACAAAAACATCTTATGCAACTTCAGCACATATTTGACGTTTTTGACAAGTTATTTGTAAATAACACACTAACACTGCTATCATTAAATAAATATTGGAATTGATCAACAGATTTTCATGAGCAAACGCTAGTAATATTCAGCCTTTGCCCAATTGCCCTTGTTCTAGCCATGTACTGTCATGATCAGTCCGTGATACCTGGCACTGGCTGAAGCCCCAGGTTCAGTGTCCCCAACTCATAATTTTTATATTTCTTTCACTTTTTTCTCAAGCATGGAAATTTTAAAATATGTTTTATCATTACTTAAATAGCCCACTGTTTAAAGATTTCTATATTTAGGAATTAGCTTGGAAAATGTTCTCTTTAAAGAACAGTAAGATCATGAAAATTTTGTTTCAAGCAACTTAAGTAGAGAGGAAGTTCAGATTGTTTTCTTGCAACAGCAGCACAAATCATTTTGAAGCTATTGACACAGGAAGTAAATGTCAAAATAACATACTAGTAGTGTGTTTTTTTTAAGTCAACAAGGGTTTTCATGGATCCTATAGCTATGAGGGTTGCCATTTTGGATGAATAAACTACTATCAAGTAGGTTGAATTATGTACACCATTCCAAATGAAGAAATGAAAAATATTCGAATCATGCATACCTTCTTTCTGTCAAGCTGGAGATATCTCGCAATAGAACCATATGCAAAATTATCCATGCTCACCAGATTTGAACCAGCAAAATCCAAGACAGTCCCATCCTCTCGACAGATTCCAGCATGCCCTATGTAAGGAGCAAGCCACGAGACAATAGGAAGAGGAGTCCAAACAATGCAACAAGGAAATCTTGCTCTCTTAGGATCTATCTCGCCAACTGGCCACAACTCCTGCAGTGAATTGCTGGAACTAGCATCTTCGTCATCAAAAGCTGCTCCAGCATCCATTGAGGAAATTTTGTTTGGTGCCATTGTTGTTACTTGTACTTAAACGAAATCAGATTTGACTAGCTTCCATCGCAAGATCTTCGCATTCCCTGAAATTAATGACAAAAATTTAGGCCCCCATACTTCAGGACAAAAAGTAATAGATGAAGACTCAATCATATATCCAGTTTGGTACCTCTGTTATGACAAATACACAAACAAAATGTCATGTCACAATAAAATCTAATAAAAGATGTTGAATATGGAAAAAGAGATGAGAGCAAAACAATTTCTTGAATAGAACAAACTTTGTTAACTTCCTTTACAAATTCTCCACAGATCAAATCATTACCTATGCGGCCATTCATTACAAACTTTAGTCCTTCCCCAGTTCATCATCTTTCAAACTCCTAATCCCTTTTTGGCTAGTACAATTATTGTAGTATCTTAATTCTCAAGGAGAGCATCAAGGCATCAAAATGAAAAAAGAAACAGCTACAACGGCCCTGATTAGCACCAAATGGCAGTTTTAGACTTTATACTACCCCAAATAGTAAACTACTTCAACAAAGATCATCAAGAATACATGAGTCATTAGTGCACTTGGTGACATCATCTTCTGAGCTCAGCTCACGCAAGGGGCAGAGTTACCGCCGCGGCGAGAACCTTATTAGCCATTAGATTATGTACAATAGCAGGCTATAAGCTAGCTGCAAACATATTTTAAGAAGAAAAATAAGGAGAAAGAATGGCAGTGTAGCACGGACTCCAAGACGAAGTGTGTGTATGACAGGTGGGACCAAGTATTAATAGTGTAGTATGTAACTATTGTATGAATGATGTATTTGATTGGCTATAGATGAATTGAAGCTAGTAGTTGGGTACACTATTAAGCTTCCTCTTACAAAATTTGTTTGTACCCAACCGCACAAACTAGTAAACGCCTATGTCGATTCGAACAAAAGTACTACTCCTATACATTCCGGATCAATTATTCGATCTGCTTCGATACCACATAACCACATAGTCATATGTAATAGTTTCATCCTCGCTGGGGAAAAGAAAAACACAAACACAGCAGAGGGAAAATCGAATCGTAAACTAGCCCCCAAAACCCCCCGTCCTTCCCCAACACTGCCGCAGCCAGCACGGCCACGAACCAACCGAACCTAACAGAGCAGAGATCGAGAGGGGAGCAACTCACCGCGGTAGCTGGTGCGACGGGAGGAGGTAGGCGGCCCGCGCGATCCGGCGAGGGGGGGACTCGGGGGTGAGCTCTTGCGGTCACTTCGCTTCGGATTCGGGCTTCGGACTCGGGGACAGGGAGGCGCGGCGCGGGCTATAGAGGAAGACGAAGGGGAGAGAGGGAGGTGGGGGTGGGAAAGGTGCATGCACCTGCAGCTCAGCAGCTGCATCTGCAGCCGCGCCAGGCGCTAGCTGGACGCGATGGGCGGCGCAAATGGTAAGCGCACACGCCGGATTGCGGACTTGCCCGTTTCTTGCTGTTGCTTGCTGCAACTGCGTTGCTGCTGGAAGAGTGGTTCCACCGTTTTCCATCCAGCTTGGCAAGGAGGGCTCCATGTGCCAGTGATAGGCGGAGCCGCTTGTTTCTTGCCGTGGCGGGAGATCCAGCCGTCCGTTCGCTCGCGCGGCGGTGGAGATGGACGGCCATGCCGACAACTTGAGGCTGGAGCTGGTTAGGCTGCTCTCTTTAGCACAACTCCAGTTCCAAGATTTCTAGAAGTTGAGTAATTTTAGCTTCATAATTTTTTTTAATTTAGATCTACAATTATGTTGACGGTTGGTCGGTGTTCTGTTGTTCTTTAAATTGTGTCTAGAATTTTCAGATGGTTAGAACGGTGATGAACCTTTCCTTGATTTCAAGTGCATTGTGATGAACTGATGATCATGATGGAATTGGTTCTATTCCTTTAAAAATGGGAGTGGTCTTGCTGGAATTGTTTAGAGAGAAAAAAAATCGTGACCTTCGATGAATTAGCCAATTCGGGCTACAAGTTGAAATAAATAGCAACACGTCCATCTAACAAAATGAATCACTGGATATGTCGCTGTCAGATTTGCACAATGTGAATGTATCATGGAATGAATAAATATAATGTGATACACATGTCGACTTTTATAAACAGACTTCGGAGAGTGTTGAAATTGACCTCTCCGAACAGCTTGCCTACTGTTCTAGTACTAAAATGGTGGCTGACCGACTGACTGAGCGGTGAGCACCCCGGTTGGTGTCTTGGTGATATATCCAAATCCAATGCATGCCTCAGTCTCTTTTGTTGAGAACTTGAGAGAACCACATGATTTTGCGGAGCTGTCTTTTTTCCCACCTGATACCCTATCATCTTTATACTCCCTCCGTTTTTTAATAGATGACGCCGTTGACTTTTTCTCACATGTTTGACCATTCGTCTTATTCAAAAAATTTACGTAATTATAATTTATTTTGTTATGAGTTGTTTTATCACTCATAGAACTTTAAGTGTGATTTATATCTTATACATTTGTATAAAATTTTTGAATAAGACGAATGGTCAAACATGTGAGAAAAAGTTAACGGCGTCATCTATTAAAAAACGGAGGTAGTATTGCTGAACAACCAACGTGTGTCACCTTATTCACCCCTAGTCTTCAACTTGTGTATTGAAAATGAAGCTGGGGAACGCCGCTGTAGTGTCCCTGCCAGGCAAAACTAAATCAGAATGCTTCTTTATACCATGGCGATGCATCGTTGGCTATTTTAGAATAGTGCAAGGCAAACCATATTGCATGAAAATAAGATAAATTGATGAAAAAGCAGGAATCAAAAACAGTATCCTTACTTCAGGGTGGGCAGGGTCATCTTCTTTATAACAGACGGGTGCTTCAGTACAAAAGCTTTCCACTCCTCTTTGCTAATCCTGTTATCCTTGTCAGTGTCAGCATCCTCAAATGTCTGCAGAATAACTCAATTAGAGATTCCTAGTGCTAGGTGAATAAACAAAAAAGGGCTCAAGGAGAAGAAAATGTTAATACCTTGTCTAGTATGGCTTCCACAAGATCATCAGACAGCTGCACCTCTGACTCCAATAAGGTAGCAACAACCATTTGTTTTACCTGAACGAGAAAAAAAAAAGGAGCTTTGTGGTTAGTTTTAACTTCACACTGGAAGCATATGCTGCAGAGCTGGCTTGTCTACATTTCAGAATTCCTTACATTTAAGAGTCAAGACTTATTATGATTTATTTCATGTCGTGACTTTATATAGTTTACTCATCAAGTTTCACAAGGAAACTACAAGAATTACAAGATGATAGCGTGGTTCCTGAAGATGACAAAAGCTGTCACCAGTTTCAGTAATTCGTGAAAAGGTTCAATAAGAAACTCGAAGGATTCCAATTATTTAGCAATTGGCAAACATGCGAACAGAAATGATCAAATGATGCTGCCTCGAAGCTGGGGGATAGAAAGACTGACACTGATATGGCAAAGTCTTGAGTACCAAAAGTTCTCACACAATAAACTTCATACAAGATTAATCAATGGCTTAACATATCTGTTCAAAAGTCAAACTGATGTATTTGCAAAACAATAGAGCATACCTCTTCACGTTCAATGAAACCGGTTTGCCTCAAATCATATAATCTGAATGAAACTGAAAGAAGCACAAAACCCCCAAAAGAATTAATGGTTGATATATAATTCAACATATAAAGAAATTCTTGATGATCACCGAGATGAAGCACACTTACAATCAATTTTGTCTTCAAGAGGAGTATTAGGATGAAATACACTTATTGCGTGAATAAACTCTTCAAATTCAATAACAGAATTTTTCTTTTCATCAAACAGATCAAAAACCTAAATGGAGAAGAAAAGCTAACTCAAATGGTAGCAAAAAAAAAATCAAAAATTGAATTTGTTTTAATCATAATATGTAATCAGAGCTTGTGTCTTGACATTACCACAAAGCATTGCCTAACAAATAATACAGTAGGTAACAAGAACAACGGGTTTGAATTAAGATCTTTACTTTGCAAGGAACATCATTCCCTATTTAATTCTTTGCATCATACGTAGAGCTCAAAGTATGTGTTCAAAGCAAGTAAAATGATGAAACTATGAGAGTCTGTCAATTAGTTGGTCATCCTAGGAAACTCAAAACAAAACAACTCTTAAAATGCTTCAGTGGCCAAATGCCCAAATAGGTAACGGCGGTATTTGAGCGGAGAGGAGTTCGAGAATAAGCCTTTTTCACTTACTCTATCTAGAAAAAGATTCTTTCCAGCCGGTGTTCTAAACAAGGCTAATTGCAGCTCTTCCTGAAAAAACAAGTACAAACATTCACAGTTAGTGACCAAAAAAAGGTAACACTATAACATTTTCCACTGTAAAATCTTCACCTGGAAGATATCATCCAGTTACAAGCGTACAATTATAGAAATTCTATTGGGGCTAGTCGCAGCATATCTTTCTATCTCTGATGTTTACATGTCTACTCTCCATGTAAACATTTGACATTTCGGTCATTTTTTCCTTTTCTGCTCTCCGTAAATTACTAACTAGCAAGTCCTTTTCAACATGCATGAGGGCACCATACTAAACTACTGGATTGCAACCTGGTTAACCCGTCCTAATTGGTTCAAAAGACTTGTTAGTTTATTTTTTTTCCTTGTTGAATAACTAAAATGAAGAATTCCAGTGTCCTTTTCCTTTTTGCAAGTAGAAGAGTTACAGAGTTTAGTAAACCGAAATCTACTAGCATCGTAACCATAGTTCCAATTCTGCAGTATGGATCGACCAAACTGAACCAATGGGCTAAAAAGAATCAAAGGAGTACACGTCTCACCAAATGTGCTGTAAAAGAAGAAGAAGAATAGTTTATCATTAACCTTATGGATCAGGCCGTCATCGACGATGGAGCAGCTGATCTTCTTGTAGAGCTCGTACAGTGCCTCCACCTCGTTCACCGAGACTGCCGGCGATCACAACCCGATGATACCATATTACCATTTAAGGCCACGGACGAAACGCAGAAGCTGAACAGGGGTGGGCGGCTCTGTACTTACAGCAGCGGGACTCGTCGGCGAGGTCGGCGAGCTCACGGAAGGTGAGGCGGCCACCGGCGCGGCGGCGCGCGCGGGCGGCGAGTGTAGCGGGCAGCAGCCCCGGCGGGCGCTTCTGGAAGCATTGCGCCGCCGCGAACACGACCGCGTCCACCAGGGCGAGCACCGGAATCAGCGCCGCGCACGCGAGCTCCCCCAGCGTCAGAGAGCTCCCCGAATCCTACCAAATCCCGCAATTCCGCAGACGACGACGTAAACAGATCAGAAGTCAGAACGAGCACGAGACCCACAAGAGGGGAAAACAGAAGACCCAGATGAAATGCAGCGGCGGCAAGCCGCGGGGGGCGCGCTACTACGACTTACGAGAGAGTTGGAGGAGCGGGAGGAGTCCATCGGCCGTGCCGCCGGCGGCGAACCATCGAGTGGCGGGGGCCTGCCTCCTCGGCGTACGTCGTTGCAGCTCGCGGCGGGCGCGGTAATGCCGTCGAAGTGGGGAATTTCCGGATTGGCGGGTCTGGGGTGTCCGTGAAATTGCTGTGGATGGATCAAGTTCGGGCAGATGCGTGAGTGGGTTCGATACGATTTGCCGCTTGGCGTCATCCAATCAATCATTCACAGATCCACCGTGGCAACACGCCGGCCTCGCTGCAAAATGATTGGCTCACCGGTTTTAATTTGGTTGGTTGGTCTACGCATGACCTGCCTACACCGTGTTTAGTTCCAAAGTTTTTCTTCAAACTTTCAACTTTTTCATCACATCAAAACTTTTCTACTTACAAACTTTTAATTTTGGTGTGAACTAAACACAGCCTTAAAACAAGTTTAATAGTATAGCCAACTACCGGCTCCAAATCATTTATAGTCAATTTTATAGCTAATTTATACAATAGTTACCTATACACATGTACTACATAATTAGTATCTGGTCCCACATGTCATACACATGTATCTTGGAGTCTGTGCTATAGCTAGCTACAAATCTACATCATGTTGCTCTTCTCTCTCCTATTTTATATCATTAAAATATGTTTATAGCTGGTTTGTAGTCTGCTATTATATCTACTCTTAATAAATATACTCTGGGAGTACTGCCATCTTTTTGGAAATATACTCTGGGAGTACTGCCATCTTTTTGGCAAGAGGACAGGGGATCAATGCATTAAGAAGACTAGAAAAGGACAGAGTCAATGGCAAATGGCCAAAACTAAGAGAAAATGGAGGGCCTGCCAAAATAAATCTTGCCAAGTTTTGACAATGCCAAAATTTTGGCAACATAGCAATATTATCAAAATTTTGGCAGAATTTCTTATGTATTGACCAAATTTAGCTACAAACTAAACGTAGATATTTTTTTGGCAACTTTATCGAAAAATGGTATGGTTGAAAATGACATCAAAGTGAACAGGCCCGGAGATAAACATGAAGCCAGTTTGGATTTATACCAAAACTTGCCTTAATAGCTTCTAATTGTTTGGATTAAAGCCAACATTTGCCAAATCAATTGAGATAAGACAACATTATCCTATCAAAATTTGATAGCACCAAAATTTGTCCAAGATTTATCGCTATCAATAATTTGGTAAAGTAGCAAACCAAAATGGCCCAATGTATCCCATCCTATCCGGACTTCGTTTTGGAGAATCATATTTCTTTCCTTTCAAATATTTGAGCGTTTGTATAAATCACATTGCCGTTAGAAATTCCTACTTCAAATTTGGAGGGTTTGTTTGTTTTTGTTGTTGTTGTTGTTTTCTCAATATGTTGGTACTAACTATTCCCTCTAGTCAAATATATTTGATGTCGGAAGAACTACTTTTTTCTTAGTTGGAAGGAGTACAAAGTTAGTATGTCTAAAAAAACTGCCATGAAAATATTTTCAAATAAGGATCAAACAGTACTAATGCGTAGAGCTGATCGATTTTCAAGTATGACCAAGTTTAAGTCTCAAAACATATGAACATCTTAAAGAAATCATCAAATGAGAGTCATTCTTGTATTCTTAATTTCTGGTTTGGTAGACTTGTATTTATACTGTGAAACAGATGGAATCAAGTACAAACGAGTAGTTGTGCATAAATCAGATTGTAGGAGGCGATAGGAGACGTCTAGTGCTATCTCTGTAACACAACTATTCAGTACTATCTCTGTAACACGACTATTCAGTAGCATCTTGATGAGTAATACAATCCTGCTGTTTAGTACTTTAACACTTCTGCTTCTTCTGTAAAGATGAAGCATAAGTAGGCCCATATGACAGAACTGCCTCAACTGGTGCCACTCATTCTCCGTTCAATAGGAAATGTCATCACTCATCCCTAAATATTCATAAATATTCTTATGGATGGATACAAAAGCTAATAGAGTAATAGCCACCATTTTCTTTCCTATTTTTCTTTTTATTTCCCTATATGGATAGAGCGCATGCGCAAGATGGATCATAACTTTTTTTCTTGTATTCAGCAGTGTAGCAATGCTAGTCAATAAAGCTAATTTCACCTTTGAACGGGAATGGGGAAGCAATGAAGTACAGAATTACAGGAGAAGGTGGCAGCTGAGGAGAGAATCAGGAGCTGTCACAACTCACAAAGCTATATACAAGTTCAGAAGCTGAACGAGAAGAGAGCATGCTTCCCTCCTACAGGAAGCATTATGACTTCTTGGTGCTGTTTTACAAATCTGGGTGATTATTGGAAGATCATGCGGTAGCAGCTGCAGCTTCTTCTGCGACTTGGGATCCCTGTTGCAGAGTGCAGATGAGGTTGCGATCCCCATACACATTGTCCACGCGACCTGGTAAGAGCACAGACACGGCAGAATAGAGATTAGGTTGGTGTCAAATTGTGTTGAGCAAAGAGCAATCTTTTGGAGACACAGAAGCAAGCAAGTACATGTTGTTGGCCAGAACTTGGCGCCCCGAAGCCACGCTGCAGGGAACGCAGCGTACTCCCTGGAGTACGGCTTAGTCCATGAGTCGCTCATCAGAAGTTGGGGCGGGTGAGGAGCACTCTGCAAAACAACGAAACAAAACAAGAATCACATGTCAACATCCTGGTGATGCAAGAGCTATGCAGCCACCTGAAGTTGAGTTTAGACCATGCTAATGTATGCATCTCCAAAATTGCAAACAGCATGAGGACTAGGATTGAACAGGGTCTACTAACATCTTATATAACCTATAAGAATTGGGGGTAAGAATACAATTGCCCGTATATAGATAGATAGGTGTTACGAACTTGCAATCTAATATAAGAAAACAGATAGCAATATACTGGTATTTTACCTTGAGGACATTGTTGTTCACATCTGCTTTGCCACTTTCGATTTCTGCAATTTCTTCCCTGATTGAGATTAGAGCATCACAGAACCTGTCTAGTTCGGCCTGCGAAATAAATAATGTGACATTAAGTTCATATAAAAGAATGGTTGGTACAATGGCAAGGAATATAGTAGGTGTTTTAGTGTTTTACCTTGCTTTCACTTTCAGTGGGTTCAATCATAAGTGTGCCTGGAACAGGCCATGACATAGTAGGTGCATGGAATCCATAGTCCATCAAACGCTTTGCAACATCCTCTGGCTCTATACCAGCAGTCGTCTGCAAAAAGTTCCAATATCCAATTAACAAAATGGAAATGCATAACTCAATGTCCAAATGCCAAAATACCTATGTTGGATACCTTAAATCCTCTTAAATCAATGATGAATTCATGGGCAACAGTTCCATTGACTCCACGGAAAAGAACTGGGTAGTGTTTCTGTACAAGTAACATGGTAAAACTTAGAAAACTAGTTCAAACACAATCAAACTAGGTAGCAATGGGTAAGTGATCACGAGTAACAAATATACCTCCAGACGCTTTGCCATGTAGTTTGCATTCAAGATTGCAATCTTTGAAGCATCAGTGAGACCCTTAGAACCCATCATGGCTATGTATGTGTAGGAAATTGGCAGAATCAACGCTGATCCCCATGGGGCAGCAGAAATGGTACCAAGAGGGTCGGTTTTCTCAGGGAGAGGGAAGCCACCAGTGGTGATCTGATAATTACAGAATTAGTCTGGTTAATGAAGCAGCATCTGCTTTTTTGGTTAAAAAGAATGATGGAATTATGAACGAACTCTTCTGGTTTTAGTACCAAATGTGGTTTTGTAGTTTTATCATCAACAAAAACTTCTACAGCAGTTTTTACATAATATCACCCTACTATGCTTTTGATATGAAAAATGATGCAGGCAACTCTTGCTTCAGGAGTTTAGGTTAATATGAAATGAAAATAAGGTGGCACTTAGCATACCCATCTAAGCTAATGTGGCACCAAGAAAGCAAGAAAATAAAACCAGCAATAGTTCTCGAGTTGCAGGAGTTAGGATTACAAAGAAACTAGTTTTTAAAGATCAACACAGCATTGTTGATGACATAGGGAAATGTATGTTTGTGTGGAATCCTCTGAAAAATATAAAAGACTCGTTGTTGAGTGTAACATGATTACGTATAATTTGCCTAATTCTGTAAGAAAGTAAAGATGGAAATTTTCTAAGGTCGCCTGGCATTATGTGCTATATCAATCTTGTCTAATATTTCAAGGTAAGAGTTGGGCATTGATCATTAGTCTGTTTAGATTATCAGCAGATTGAATTCAGAGCACCTACCACTGGATGAGATGGTAAAAATGGTGCTAAGTGCTTCTTAACACCAATAGGACCCATTCCAGGACCACCCCCACCATGTGGAATGCAGAATGTCTTGTGAAGGTTAAGGTGGCAAACATCTGCTCCAATAAAGCCAGGGCTTGTCAATCCGACCTGTAAAAAGACAACTTCTGTTAGTTAGGGAGTGTATTGAATATTTTTGGCTCGACAGATGGGGTTGTTTGAAATTACTATAACAGAAGTTCTCAATTGGGATCAGATGAACTTGGAGAAAGCTTATCATATTTTATTGAAGATAACATAGCTCAGCATAATTAATTGGATAAGGGTCATTCAATCACCATCATTGAAAGATAAACATGAAAATGAAAGTTGGTACTTATGTGTTTGTTTCAAAACAAGGTATACTTGTGTTTGGAACTGAATTAAAATAGACTTGTTACTAAACATGTTTAGTATAATTCATAGGCACAACTAATTGGTTTTTTTTAATCAACACCATGTCAAAAAGCCATCTATACAATTTATATAGCCTCACCACAATGCGTTCCAATCCATCAAAATTGTAAAAAGACTTGAAGAGAGCAATTTCAGAAAGAGCGTGCTAGTCTGATGACATGATAAACTGCAAAGAACTAACCTGAGCATTCATGTTAGCCCCATCCATGTATACCTGCCCACCGTTCTCATGAATTATCCTGCATATCTCATCAATGCCTTCTTCATAGACTCCATGGGTCGAAGGATAGGTAACCTGACGAACAGAGCAACCACGCAACATTCTGTTACTCTACGCACAAGGCCAACATATTTCAAAAACTTGTTTTATAAATCAAATCATCCTGAGTGAACTATTATGTTTCTATGCCCATAATAAAAATCTTATTCACAAATCACCTGCGGGCTCTAGCCTATATGGAAATAGATAAACTAAACTAACCGGGGATTTGTTTCTATTATATATGTCAATTAAC